AAAATGTGTTTTATTCATTTTTTTCTCTCCAGTTATAAAATGACTAAAATACATGGCTTCAGCTTGAATATCACATGTACATTTCATAACAGTTCATCATACATGTGTAACCTGGTGAGATGCCTTTGTGCTCATTTGAAATATACATGCACATGGAAAAGATTTTCATAAATTACTTTGGNGTACATCACATAATGTTTAAAAAATATTCAACTTGGTGGTAACTCAAATTTTGTAAATATTGTAGAAAACAAATTTTTACTTAATTTTCATATTTTGTGGTAAATTTGCAGAAAAGTGGCTACCTTTTTTCTTTTCATATATGGAATCTATGTAAAAAATGTAAGAAAATAAGCCTAATTAGAAAAAAATGACATGGGTTTTTCCAAAAGGATGGATCCACCTTAAACCCTTGGTCTTACTAGACAGTATTGGAGTCTAGTTAACTTAAGCACATGTTAACATGTTCAACCATTGGCCTGGCAAGGTAAGAACTTGTGTCTAGTTAGCTTAACAACAAATTAATATGTTTAACCCTTAGTCTGGCTAGGTAAGTACTAGTGTTCAGTTACTATGGTAACTTACAGGGTCTTGTTAATTTAACCACAGATTGAACTCATTCACCCCTGAAACTTCATTATGAACTATTCCAATTATTGAATTGGAAGAGTTCAAATGTGTCTTCAGGGGTAAATGAGCTAAATATGTAACTCTCAACCTTGCTAGGAAAGTACCATCTGAGTATGGTATATGATTGTGTCAGGGAACAGTCACTTTTATCCTGTTAACCCTTTCACCACTGTAGACCATAATGGACTCATCCAGATCAATGTATGGCAGAGTCTACTAAAGTTACCTAGTGGTGAAAGGGTTAAGTAGGATTTAATTAGACTGTATCTGGAGCAGTCTGTTTGATTGAGTCAGGAATGGGTAATTAGTGGCTTACAAGGTTTGATTACCAGTTAATTACACTTATGTTCTAAACGAACATAAATTATTTATCATATGATCTCAAACTCATCACTGGGAGTTCTTCCGCCTAGCTAAACGAGGACATACATTTATTCACTTTATACAATGTTAAGTAGAAATTTCAAACAGCGAGTATATTCCTCTCTGTCTTCATCCCCATGTTGTGCTCGACCATTAAAGATTCTGCAATCACAAAATGAAAGACAAAGAAACATGCATTTCCGAAAAGTGGTGGGACGGTGGGAAAGTCTGTATTGTTCTATTGCTAGGCAGACACAGACACCTGTGCATGTCATCACTGTCCTAAACTCACCTATCGCACGTGCCTGTAATGCAGCACATGCTGAACTCTGACCCGGACTTTTCCAAGCACTCATTTACATAACTATGATAAATGAATTAATTATAAGAGGTACTGTAACATGTACTCTAAGAACAGTGTGATGAAACAGAACCTCTGTAGATATACCGGTCTACTCTGAGCTATAAAGACGGGCCTGATTAACTCACAACCAACATGTACTCTAAGAACAGTGTGATGAAACAGAACCTTTGTAATATACCGGTCTACTCTGAGCTATAAAGACGGGCCTGATTAACTCACAACCAACATGTGCTCTAAGAACAGTGTGATGAAACATAACCTCTGTAGATATACCGGTCTACTATGAGCTATAAAGACGGGCCTGATCAACTCACAACCAACATGTACTCTAAGAACAGTGTGATGAAACAGAACCTGTGTAGATATACAGGTCTACTCTGAGCTATAAAGACAGGCCTGATTAACTCACAACCAAATTAATATAGACAGAAGACAGAAGTATAAGTGGATAGCAAGTTAATAACACTTGCCTAACCCCCATCCTCCATGTTCTTCACACTTGTTTATAGGCAGTCCGTCAGATACACTTGTCTCATTGTAAGATTGCCTGCTAATCAGTGATGTAAACTGTATCTTTCCCCATTCTACAAAATGTGTGCTTCTTCCCCTTTATTCATTGACCCTGTATCATCTTTTCTATATTTACTGTTGATATATGTTATATCCCCTTTTCTCTCAATATATATTTGTTTTCACCCTTTATGTAATTATGTGATATATGTTATATCCCCTTTTCTCTCTATATATAGTTGGTTTCTCCCTTTATGTAATTATGTGATATATGTTATATCCCCATTTCTCTCTCTATATATTTGTTTTCTCCCTTTATGTAATTATGTGATATATGTTATACCCCCTTTTCTCTCTCTATATATTTGTTTTCTCCCTTTATGTAATTTGTTACTTTCCTTAGATTATTTATTGATGTGCTATCTCTCCTTCATTAACATGAAAAATTATTTCCCCATATATCCATTATTGATACGCTATCTCCCTTTAATTCACTTTTGATTTGTTATCTCCCTTTAATTTACTATTGATTTGTTATCTCCCTTTAATTAAGTTTTAATTTGTTATGTCCTCTTTAATTCACTATTGATTTGTTATGTCCCTTTAATTCACTATTGATTTTGTTATGTCCCCTTTAATTAACTTTTAATTTGTTATGTACCCTATAATTCACTATTGATTTGTTATCTCCCTTTAATTAACTTTCAATTTGTTATGTCCCCTTTAATTCACTTTTGATTTGTTATCTCCCTTTAATTAACTTTTAATTTGTTATGTCCCCTTTAATTCACTATTGATTTGTTATCTCCCTTTAATTAACTTTTTTTAAATTTGTTATGTCCCCTTTAATTCACTATTGATTTGTTATCTCCCATTAATTAACTTTTAATTTGTTATGTCCCCTTTAATTCACTATTGATTTTGTTATGTCCCCTTTAATTCACTATTGATTTGTTATCTCCCTTTAATTCACTTTTGATTTGTTATCTTCCCTTTGTTCACTTTTTGATGCTATCTCCCATTTATTTACTGGTGATTTGTTATCTCCCCTTGTTTTCATTATTGATATAATATCTACTGATATGTGTTTTGGGGTCATAACTGATTTTATTATATAACACAGGCTATTTCCATGCAATATTGCCGTTCAATATAAACAATATAGCACACGGACAATAAACATGCAAATGAGTCTTGTCATTGTCGGAAACAGGTCATATTCCTACGCACTACAACTTCTACGTTTGTAAAGAAAATGGCTGACCGAGTTACTGTTTGCATTCATAGCAGAGGCAGGGGCACTGGGAGATTAAAATTAACCAACAAGTTAAATAAATTCAATATTATATAAACTCGAGTGTTAGCTTCACACAAATTCAACACCTGCATGTTCAAATTCCACTTGCACTTTTCCGACATATGCACAATCAATGGCGAACACGTGTAACCAGTCAACTTTATCAGTGTTCCAGTTTCATGGCGGATTCCACAGTATATTTTCTGAGTCAGTGACAGGCGAAAACACCGAGGTTCACATTCACCAACAACCCTCTCCAAAGAAATGCGCTTGTGTTATAGAGATTGACAATCACTCCAGTCTCTGTAAACTTTTAAAAAGTGCAGACTGTGATGTGTATTGTGATGACCTTTACCTTGACAGTGCACACGCCGTTGTGCCAAATATGTGACGTCACTGCTATTTTCGTAAATGCCAATTCGTTGAATGGTTTTCGTATAAAAAATGATTATTACTTATCAATATTAATTATATTAATTGATAATTATTCATACATTGGTTAATGAAGAAAACCTAAATTATTGTTTGTTCATTGAAAATGTTCTCGGGAAGAACTTTCTGAAATTATTTTTTGTGGCGCAGCGAGCTCCAAACAAAATGTATGTAATGCGTACTTTCGTCAGCCATGGTACAATTTATATAGAGGAGACGTGTCAAGAAAAAGAGTGTTTCTCAAATTATGTAATAAATAGAATCTAACACTCGTGTTAATGTAATATTGAATTTATTAAACTCGTTTATTAATTTCATATGAAATTAATAAACTTGTTAAACTCGTTTATTAATTTCATATGAAATTAATAAACTTATTCAATAAATTCAATATTACATGAACACTCGTGTCAGATCCTCTATGTATTACGTCTGTAACCCTGTATGATCTTTATGTGTTGATTGGCTGTTACCAATTACTGTAGAATCATTTATTTTTGTGGGGTAAAAATTTCGTGGTTTTCATATAATAACCTGTTTCAAGGACATTATATCTTTCTATATATATCATACCAAATTTCTGTTTTCAGAGTGATTTAATTTCGTGGATTTTTGTTAAATCATGAAATAAACGAAATTGAATGTCCCACGAAAATTTATGATTTTACAGTATACTCCTTAAGGTCTATATGAACTTTTTATGCCGATGAGCCATTACCCCTGGTATTATTAATAGGCTTTTAGTTTTATAGCAATCACTCCTACAGGACATAATTTCAATTAGAATTTATAATGCGGTTTTCCATACTCATTCTGTAAAAGGGTGCTACGCCCTCTGAGATCTTGAGTAATTTGATTGAATTCCAATTGTGTATCATCATGGTTAAAGTACATCAAATAAATTGTTAAAAAAGGCTGAAGTTACTTGAAAGTTTGTGAATTTCATGACAATAGATTCATTTGAGAGTTCAAGCTCCAGTGTTGATTTAATAGATAACCTTGATTTTTCTCTAAGCGTTCCATATACACACTCCCTGCACTGCTCTACTCCCACATGTCACAGGCATTTTAATGATTCATGGAACAAATAACAAAAGTATGTGATAATACTGTGGTAATGTAGACCCACACTGAACACAGGTGATAATGGGTATGATTCCAAGTGTTTCATAATCAAACACTGGGCTGTTATTACGGCACATCTAGCAGGGATCCTTGAGGTAGAACACGCTTTACTGAAGGTTACACCCTTTACTTAGTCTGTGACGAGTTAACAAATTAGTGTGCCTCCATGTGAACTTTTTGCTTTGTAGAAACATTTACCTTTTGTCTCAAAAAAATTCTGTACAACAGAAGATGTGGATTCATCTTTTACTAATTTTTATGATATTTTATATTTTACAGGTTTTGAGATTCAGTGACAATACAAGTGATTTAGACCAGTACAAGGCACCATGCAGGATCTTCAGCAGGGATGCAGGCTGTTGGTGGTTCTAGTGGTGGTCACAGGGATGGTGTCTGCTAGTAAGCCTTCAAATCAACCTTATATATTCATTTTACCTCAGAATTGTCCATATCTTACTCAGAGATGTCCATATCTTACTCAGTTTTGTCCATATCTTATTCAGATATGTCCATATTTTACTCAGATTTGTACATATCTTATTCAGATTTGTCCATATCTTACTCAGAGATGTCCATATCTTACTCAGATTTGTCCATATCTTATTCAGAATTGTCCATATCTTACTCAGAATTGTCCATATCTTATATCTTACTCAGAATTGTTCGTGTCTTACTCAGATTTGTCCGTATCTTACTCATAGTAAATGAAAAAACACATATACAATTTTATTGCTTAAATCTTAATGTAAGAACATTTTTGTCAAATTCTGATGATTTGTAGCTCAAGTAATTTCAGACAGTTGAGAAAATAAAAAGATACACACATATGTAGAAAATAAATATACCCTGTATCTATGAATTGAAACTGTTTCACCAACAATCCTCACATAACGGCAACAAGCCTGACCTCTCTGCAGTCAAAATTTGAAGTCAATGACTTTTCATTTAATAATCCATTTTTTGAAGAAGATTTACGAAAAGTTTCAGGAAAATGACCCATATACTAAATTTCTGTTAGTGCTGACCAGGGAGGCCCTATGTGTAGTGAATCCTCCCATTTAAGACTATACCCTGTGTTATAGTGAATCCTCCCATTTAAGACAGTCCCCTATGTGTAGTGAATCCTCCCATTTAAGACTGTAACCTGTGTTATAGTGAATCCTCCCATTTAAGACAGTCCCCTGTGTTATAGTGAATCCTCCCATTGAAGACTGTACCCTGTGTTATAGAGAATCCTTCCATTTAAAACAGTCCCCTATGTGTAGTGAATCCTCCCATTTAAGACAGTCCCCTGTGTTGTAGTGAATCCTCCCATTTAAGACTGTACCCTGTGTTATAGTGAATCCTCCCATTTAAGACAGTCCCCTATGTGTAGCGAATCCTCCCATTTAAGACTGTAACCTGTGTTATAATGAATCCTTCCATTTAAGGCAGTCCCCTGTGTTGTAGTGAATCCTCCCATTTAAGACTGTACCCTGTGTTATAGTGAATCCTCCCATTTAAGACTGTAACCTGTGTTATAATGAATCCTTCCATTAAGACAGTCCCCAATGTTATAGTGAATCCTCCCATTGAAGACTGTACCCTGTGTTATAGTGAATCCTCCCATTTAAGACAGTCCCCTGTGTTATAGCGAATCCTCCCATTGAAGACTGTATCCTGTGTTATAGTGAATCCTCCCATTTAAGACAGTCCCCTGTGTTATAGTGAATCCTCCCATTTAAGGCAGTCCCCTGTGTTGTAGTGAATCCTCCCATTTAAGACAGATTTAAGACAGTCCCCTGTGTTATAGCGAATCCTCCCCCCATTTAAGACAGTCCCCTGTGTTATAGTGAATCCTCCCATTTATGACAGTCCCCTGTTTATAGTGAATCCTCCCATTTAAGACAGTCTCCTGTATTAAAGTGAATCCTGTTATTTAAGACTGTACCCTGTGTTAACGTGAATCCTCCCATTAAGACAGTCCCCTATGTTATAGTGAATCCTCCCATTTAAGACAGTCCCCTGTGTTATAGTGAATCCTCCCATTTAAGACAGTCCCCTGTGTTATAGTGAATCCTCCCATTTAAGACAGTCCCCTGTGTTATAGTGAATCCTCCCATTTAAGACAGTCCCCTGTGTTATAGTGAATCCTCCCATTTAAGACAGTCCCCTGTGTTATAGTGAATCCTCCCATTTAAGACAGTCCCCTGTGTTATAGTGAATCCTCCCATTTAAGACAGTCCCCTGTGTTATAGTGAATCCTCCCATTTAAGACAGTCCCCTGTGTTATAGTGAATCCTCCCATTTAAGACAGTCCCCTGTGTTATAGTGAATCCTCCCATTTAAGACAGTCCCCTGTGTTATAGTGAATCCTCCCATTTAAGACAGTCCCCTGTGTTATAGTGAATCCTCCCATTTAAGACAGTCCCCTGTGTTATAGTGAATCCTCCCATTTAAGACAGTCCCCTGTGTTATAGTGAATCCTCCCATTTAAGACAGTCCCCTGTGTTATAGTGAATCCTCCCATTTAAGACAGTCCCCTGTGTTATAGTGAATCCTCCCATTTAAGACAGTCCCCTGTGTTATAGTGAATCCTCCCATTTAAGACAGTCCCCTGTGTTATAGTGAATCCTCCCATTTAAGACAGTCCCCTGTGTTATAGTGAATCCTCCCATTTAAGACAGTCCCCTGTGTTATAGTGAATCCTCCCATTTAAGACAGTCCCCTGTGTTATAGTGAATCCTCCCATTTAAGACAGTCCCCTGTGTTATAGTGAATCCTCCCATTTAAGACAGTCCCCTGTGTTATAGTGAATCCTCCCATTTAAGACAGTCCCCTGTGTTATAGTGAATCCTCCCATTTAAGACAGTCCCCTGTGTTATAGTGAATCCTCCCATTTAAGACAGTCCCCTGTGTTATAGTGAATCCTCCCATTTAAGACAGTCCCCTGTGTTATAGTGAATCCTCCCATTTAAGACAGTCCCCTGTGTTATAGTGAATCCTCCCATTTAAGACAGTCCCCTGTGTTATAGTGAATCCTCCCATTTAAGACAGTCCCCTGTGTTATAGTGAATCCTCCCATTTAAGACAGTCCCCTGTGTTATAGTGAATCCTCCCATTTAAGACAGTCCCCTGTGTTATAGTGAATCCTCCCATTTAAGACAGTCCCCTGTGTTATAGTGAATCCTCCCATTTAAGACAGTCCCCTGTGTTATAGTGAATCCTCCCATTTAAGACAGTCCCCTGTGTTATAGTGAATCCTCCCATTTAAGACAGTCCCCTGTGTTATAGTGAATCCTCCCATTTAAGACAGTCCCCTGTGTTATAGTGAATCCTCCCATTTAAGACAGTCCCCTGTGTTATAGTGAATCCTCCCATTTAAGACAGTCCCCTGTGTTATAGTGAATCCTCCCATTTAAGACAGTCCCCTGTGTTATAGTGAATCCTCCCATTTAAGACAGTCCCCTGTGTTATAGTGAATCCTCCCATTTAAGACAGTCCCCTGTGTTATAGTGAATCCTCCCATTTAAGACAGTCCCCTGTGTTATAGTGAATCCTCCCATTTAAGACAGTCCCCTGTGTTATAGTGAATCCTCCCATTTAAGACAGTCCCCTGTGTTATAGTGAATCCTCCCATTTAAGACAGTCCCCTGTGTTATAGTGAATCCTCCCATTTAAGACAGTCCCCTGTGTTATAGTGAATCCTCCCATTTAAGACAGTCCCCTGTGTTATAGTGAATCCTCCCATTTAAGACAGTCCCCTGTGTTATAGTGAATCCTCCCATTTAAGACAGTCCCCTGTGTTATAGTGAATCCTCCCATTTAAGACAGTCCCCTGTGTTATAGTGAATCCTCCCATTTAAGACAGTCCCCTGTGTTATAGTGAATCCTCCCATTTAAGACAGTCCCCTGTGTTATAGTGAATCCTCCCATTTAAGACAGTCCCCTGTGTTATAGTGAATCCTCCCATTTAAGACAGTCCCCTGTGTTATAGTGAATCCTCCCATTTAAGACAGTCCCCTGTGTTATAGTGAATCCTCCCATTTAAGACAGTCCCCTGTGTTATAGTGAATCCTCCCATTTAAGACAGTCCCCTGTGTTATAGTGAATCCTCCCATTTAAGACAGTCCCCTGTGTTATAGTGAATCCTCCCATTTAAGACAGTCCCCTGTGTTATAGTGAATCCTCCCATTTAAGACAGTCCCCTGTGTTATAGTGAATCCTCCCATTTAAGACAGTCCCCTGTGTTATAGTGAATCCTCCCATTTAAGACAGTCCCCTGTGTTATAGTGAATCCTCCCATTTAAGACAGTCCCCTGTGTTATAGTGAATCCTCCCATTTAAGACAGTCCCCTGTGTTATAGTGAATCCTCCCATTTAAGACAGTCCCCTGTGTTATAGTGAATCCTCCCATTTAAGACAGTCCCCTGTGTTATAGTGAATCCTCCCATTTAAGACAGTCCCCTGTGTTATAGTGAATCCTCCCATTTAAGACAGTCCCCTGTGTTATAGTGAATCCTCCCATTTAAGACAGTCCCCTGTGTTATAGTGAATCCTCCCATTTAAGACAGTCCCCTGTGTTATAGTGAATCCTCCCATTTAAGACAGTCCCCTGTGTTATAGTGAATCCTCCCATTTAAGACAGTCCCCTGTGTTATAGTGAATCCTCCCATTTAAGACAGTCCCCTGTGTTATAGTGAATCCTCCCATTTAAGACAGTCCCCTGTGTTATAGTGAATCCTCCCATTTAAGACAGTCCCCTGTGTTATAGTGAATCCTCCCATTTAAGACAGTCCCCTGTGTTATAGTGAATCCTCCCATTTAAGACAGTCCCCTGTGTTATAGTGAATCCTCCCATTTAAGACAGTCCCCTGTGTTATAGTGAATCCTCCCATTTAAGACAGTCCCCTGTGTTATAGTGAATCCTCCCATTTAAGACAGTCCCCTGTGTTATAGTGAATCCTCCCATTTAAGACAGTCCCCTGTGTTATAGTGAATCCTCCCATTTAAGACAGTCCCCTGTGTTATAGTGAATCCTCCCATTTAAGACAGTCCCCTGTGTTATAGTGAATCCTCCCATTTAAGACAGTCCCCTGTGTTATAGTGAATCCTCCCATTTAAGACAGTCCCCTGTGTTATAGTGAATCCTCCCATTTAAGACAGTCCCCTGTGTTATAGTGAATCCTCCCATTTAAGACAGTCCCCTGTGTTATAGTGAATCCTCCCATTTAAGACAGTCCCCTGTGTTATAGTGAATCCTCCCATTTAAGACAGTCCCCTGTGTTATAGTGAATCCTCCCATTTAAGACAGTCCCCTGTGTTATAGTGAATCCTCCCATTTAAGACAGTCCCCTGTGTTATAGTGAATCCTCCCATTTAAGACAGTCCCCTGTGTTATAGTGAATCCTCCCATTTAAGACAGTCCCCTGTGTTATAGTGAATCCTCCCATTTAAGACAGTCCCCTGTGTTATAGTGAATCCTCCCATTTAAGACAGTCCCCTGTGTTATAGTGAATCCTCCCATTTAAGACAGTCCCCTGTGTTATAGTGAATCCTCCCATTTAAGACAGTCCCCTGTGTTATAGTGAATCCTCCCATTTAAGACAGTCCCCTGTGTTATAGTGAATCCTCCCATTTAAGACAGTCCCCTGTGTTATAGTGAATCCTCCCATTTAAGACAGTCCCCTGTGTTATAGTGAATCCTCCTCCCATTTAAGACAGTCCCCTGTGTTATAGTGAATCCTCCTCCCATTTAAGACAGTCCCCTGTGTTGTAGTGAATCCTCCTCCCATTTAAGACAGTACCCTGTGTTAACATGAATCCTCCCATTTAAAACAGTCCCTATGTTATAGTGATTCCTCCCATTTAAGACAGTTCCCTGTGTTGTAGTGAATCCTCCAAGTTAAGACAGTCCCCTGTGTTGTAGTGAATCCTCCCATTTAAGACAGTCCCCTGTGTTGTAGTGAATCCTCCAAGTTAAGAAAGTCCCCTGTGTTGTAGTGAATCCTTCAAGTTAAGACAGTCCCCTGTTTTGTAGTTAATCCTCCCATTTAAGACAGTCCCCTGTGTAATAATGAATCCTCCCATTTAAGACAGTCCCCTGTTTTAAAGTTAATCCTACCATTTAAGACAGTCCCCTGTGTTATAGTGAATCCTCCCATTAAGACAGTCCCCTGTGTCATAGTGAATCCTCCCATTTAGACAGTCCTCTATGTGATAGTGAATCCTCCCATTTAAGACAGTCCCCTGTGCTATAGTGAATCCTCCCATTAAGACAGTCCCCTATGTGTAGTGAATCCTCCCATTTAAGACAGTCCCCTGTGTTATAGTGAATCCTCCCATTTAAGACAGTCCCCTGTTTATAGTGAATCCTCCCATTTAAGACAGTCCCCTGTATTAAAGTGAATCCTGTTATTTAAGACTGTACCCTGTGTTAACGTGAATCCTCCCATTAAGACAGTCCCCAATGTTATAGTGAATCCTCCCATTTAAGACAGTCCCCTGTGTTATAGTGAATCCTCCCATTTAAGACAGTCCCCTATGTGTAGTGAATCCTCCCATTTAAGACAGTCCCCTGTATTAAAGTGAATCCTCCCATTTAAGACAGTCCCCTATGTTATAGTGAATCCTCCCATTTAAGACAGTCCCCTATGTTATAGTGAATCCTCCCATTTAAGACTGTACCCTGTGTTATAGTGAATGCCTGGTATAAAAATGTCCCCTCTGTGTTACAGACACTAGCTGTTGTTCCTATCCCTGTGAGAATGGAGGGGTATGTATGACCACAGGCATGGAGGGCTTCCAGTGTGACTGTACCAGTACAGACTTCTACGGAACTCTGTGTGAAACCCGTAAGTACAAAGTACAGGTAGTCGTTGTAAGTACAGGTAGCTGTCGTAAGTACAGGTAGTTGTCATAAGTACAGGAAGTTGTCGTAAGTACAGGTAGCTGTCGTAAGAACAGGTAGCTGTCGTAAGTACAGGTAGTTGTCATAAGTACAGGTAGCTGTTGTAAGTACAGGTAGCTGTCGTAAGTACAGGTAGCTGTTGTAAGTACAGGTAGTTGTCGTAAGTGCAGGTAGTTGTCGTAAGTACAGGTAGTTGTCATAAGTACAGGTAGTTGTCGTAAGTACAGGTAGTTGTCATAAGTACAGGTAGTTGTCGTAAGTACAGGTAGTTGTCGTAAGTACAGGTAGTTGTCATAAGTACAGGTAGTTGTCGTAAGTACAGGTAGTTGTCATAAGTACAGGTAGTCGTCGTGTAAGGGATCATTTGCTAGATGAAAGAGCTGGTTGTTCTGTAAAGGAGCTAGTTGTTTCGTAAGGGAGTGAGTAATTATGTAAAGGAGCTAGTTTTTACGTAAGGGAGTGAGTAATTATGTAAAGGAGCTAGTTGTTACGTAAGGGAGTGAGTAATTATGTAAAGGAGCTGGTTGTTACGTAAGGGAGTGAGTAATTATGTAAAGGAGCTAGTTGTTACGTAAGGGAGTGAGTAATTCTGTTAAGGAGCTGGTTGTTATGTAAGGGAGTGAGTAATTATGTAAAGAAGCTGGTTGTTACATAAGGGAATGAGTAATTATGCAAAGGAACTGGTTGTTATGTAAGGGAGTGAGTAATTATGTAAAGGAACTGGTTTTTATGTAAGGGAGTGAGTAATTATATAAAGGAGCTGGTTGTTATGCAAGGGAGTGAGTAATTATGTAAAGGAGCTGGTTGTTTTATAAGGAAGTGAGTAATTATGTAAAGGAGCTGTTTGTTTTATAAGGGGGCTATTGGTTAAATTGAAGATCTGATTCTGGAAAAATTGATTTGTAGAACTTGCATTTTTTTGTTAGCAACCTTTCTGAAGCGCGTCAAGTTATGGCTGAAGCCGAGCCCGGACACCACCCATTATTTGTTAACTCACTACAACTGGTTATGGGACACAGTCAACAGCGTGAATTTCCTACGTAATGCTGTCATGAAGAAGGTCTACACATGTGAGTATAAACCTTACTATCACTGGAATGTACACAGAAGCCACCTACTAGTGGATTTCTATGGTATGTGTAGGATTCGTAAGTGTTAAAGTCAGATTTTTTTTTATATTTTTTTAATTGTAAAGTGCAACATTCAATCACCCATAGCTAAGTGGTTAGTATCCCTTTCCATCTTCTAATAGCAAAGCTGGAGATCATACACTATACTTCCATTAAAACAATACATGTATGAATTATTTTGTCGGACACTTGGATATAAACCGTTTTGTATTTACAGTGAGGTCGGACATGATAGATAGCCCTGTCACCTACACCTCAGAACACTCCTACATCACACTGGATGCCAACTTCAATACGACATACTATGCGCGCACACTGCCACCCGTGCCCTACAACTGTCCCACACCCATGGGTGTTTGGGGTGAGTATAAACCTGAAGTCTGCAAGCTCCACCAGTTATTAGTTCACCTGGTACAAAGTGCCTGTGAGTTTATGCCATGGTTTTGTGAACTATAAATTTAAAGTTCATGTTATTTGGCGTAAAGCTTGCTGGGGTGAAGGGCTTGACTCATATTCAAGGCCACAAATGTCAAAGGTGTTAAAAGCTTCAAACCACTCTTTGTCAAGATTCATAATGCTTAGAGTCATGAAATTTGGCATGTCAACTGTCAACTTTGATAAGATTAAAATGTAACACTTCACCTATATTCAAGGTCGAAAGATGTTAATTATGTTAAAATCTTCAAATGCTGTTAATAAAACATTATTCCTAGAGTGATGTCAATTTTCCTTCATTGTACACAATTATTTTTTAAACATTACATCCTTAACTCACAGGTCAATATTATAATATGAAATGTAGCATATACCCTTAACTCTGACATATAGCATAGGTGTAACGTGTGAGATAGCATATATACCCTTAACTCTGACATAGGTGTAATATGTGAGATAGCATACCCCCTTAACTCTGACATTAATCATAAGTGTAACGTGTGAGATAGCATAAACCCTTAACTCTGACATAAATTATAGGTGTTATATGTGAGATAGTATATATACCCTTAACTCTGACATAGGTGTAATGTGTAAGATAGCATATGCAGTTGTGGGATCGCACAACGTTACACGATGTGCGCACGATAAAAAATTGGACGATCATTGCTTGCGCACATTTGTGCGGACGATCGACGAACGTTGTGCGATAACAATCATGGTTGGTGTAAATTGAGGAATGGCATAACTATATATATGGTTTGCTGTTTAGACATATAAACTTGATTTTTTTAGTATGTTTCCTTCCCTATTCTAGCTTCATCTACAAGCTTATCTTTCTGTCTTTACTTTAAAAATGGCGTTTTCAGTGTTTTTTAACCAACCTTACAAAACAGCCTCGGCAACACAGGTAAACATAGCCACTTTGTACCTGGACAGTAGTTTTCCCCCGCCGGGGCACTTAGGTAACCCGCCAATGTGTGAAAACCAGATGAAGGGGAGCTTTAGATTAAAACGAATGCAAATAACAAATACTAAACATCCAATTGTGTTTTCATAACGGTATACGGTATCACATATCAGCTCTACCCGTTAGGCACAGGCCAGGTAAAACTCCGGTCACTCATCAAATTGTTATTTATCTGTTCTGTTACCTAGCTAGGAGCCAAATCCATTCTTGACAGTGTACAGTCACTATAATACTGTGTTACATGCATTGTAAAATTGTACATAATGTTAATTATTGTGATGAGAAATTACAATAATAAATACAGTGTAAATTATTGTATACTAGTACGAGCCTTCCGTATTTTTTTTATTCCGTAATATTGATCAACAAATTGTACCAAATCGCACAGTTGTGCGGAGAGGGCCGCACAACAGGGCGAACGATTGTCAAATCGCACAGTTGTGCGCACCATGTGTGGACGATGTGCGGACGGTGTGTGAACGATGTATGCACGGTGTGCGGTCACACAACTGTACCCTTAACTCTGACATAAATCAGAAGTGCATTATGTACCAGTGTAGGATTATCTTTTAGATAATTCCAGACACTTATGAAAGTAAACACATGTTTTATTTTCAATGCTCATTGTTTCTGAAGATGGCATTTGATATTTGTTTGCATTATATATTCCATTGATCTCATGCAATTGTTTTAATTATCACAGGTAAAAAGGAAATGCCTGATGTGGATAGAATAGTCAAAAAGTTCTTCGTAAGGAAGAAGTTTCTCCCGGAACCCATGGGAACAAGTGCTTTATTCAGCTTCTTTGCACAGCATTTTACACATCAGTTTTTCAAGACTGACGTTAAAAATGGTCCACAGTATCAGTGGGGAGGACATGGGGTAAGAAATATCTTAGGCCAAAAAAAAAAAAAGTGTCTGTTTAGGGTTCCCGACCGACCCTAGGTTTTTACCCCCAACCCAAAACTTTTTGATGAAAAAAAAAAGAAAAAAACCCCGCTGATTTTCGAATTTTAGAAGGTTCCTTGCATTATAAAATGGCTTCCAGCTCCGTGTTGGCGCTAAATGTCATCATATGGAGCACAATTTGCCTCCAAATGAACCTTGTTTATGTAATTCTTTGTTTTACATACAATAGTAGGGTCATAATCACATGACCAAAAACCCTAAACAGACTATATATTTTTTTTGGCCTTATGAGAATATTACATTTTTCTTTATATTTCCCTATGACCATTGAAATTTTGGTAAAGTAACCACAAGTGATTTGTAAATTGGATGATCATTTATCTTAATTAAATGTCGAAGACGTCGCCTAATTATTTTGTCACCTTAAATTTGTGTTTTTGTAGTGTATATAGGGGTATACAGAACTGATTATTTGTAGAAATGTTATTTGAATGGAAAAAACACTGTTCACTGTAAATAAATATGCCTTCATAATAATAATATACATGTAGGTATGACCATTTTATGCTTTAAGTTTTACTGTTTACTTTAAAACAGGTTGACGTCACCCATGTTTACGGCAAAGATAAAGATGCAGAGGCTAAACTGCGAACTTTTAAAGACGGAAAACTGAAAACACAGGTATAAAATTCGATAATAATATCTTATAGTTAAAAATGAAGTATTTGCTACAAAGAGGTTGGGTGAGTTGCCATGGAGGTACTATCTACCCGTAAGTTACGGTCCTGAAACCAATGCCAGGAGTGTAATTCATGACTATGTTTATAACACTGCTTTGTAGCTTCACGTTTATGACTTATACATCACTTGTATGGCTTATGTTTATGTTATTGTGTCAAACTAATTGTTCCTAGTGTAACAACTAGAAAGAGTGATATCATTTATCACACAATGTATCGTGTTATCCAGTGAGTATACCCATGTCATATCTTTTTGGCGTATTAAACCATGTAATATGACCTATCGGCCCTGTGATTGGTTGTAAGTTTTAAATTGTTTCAATTGTGACGTCAGGCCTAGGACAAGTGCATGACGTCACAGACTGACGCACTGGAGTCAAAATGGCAGATTTTTAGGTCACCTGAGCTTTAGCTCAAGTGACCTATTGCTATCCGTTTTCGTCCGTCGTCGTCCGTCGTCCGTCGTCCGTCGTCCGTTAACATTTTACATTTCAAACTTAAAGTCAAGTTCTGCTGGGCCGATTGAACTGAAAGTTGATAGGAATGATCGCCTCATGGTCCTGACAAAGTGTTGTTATTTTTCGGGTCGATCAGAAATCCAATATGGCCGCCACGGCCGCCATTTTGAAAACCTATTTCAAACTTAAAGTCAAGTTCTGCTGGACCGATTGAACTTAAAGTTTGTAGGAATGATCGACTCATGGTCCTGACAAAGTGTTGTTATTTTTCAGGTCAATCATAAATCCAATATGGCCGCCACGGCCACCATTTTGAAAACATATTTCAAACTTAAAGTCAAGTTCTGCTAGGCCGATTGAACTGAAACTTTGTAGGAATGATTGACTCATGGTCCTGACAAAGTGTTGTTATTTTTCGGGTCGATCAGAAATCCAATATGGCCACCACGGCTGCCATTTTGGTAAACTATTTCAAACTTAAAGTAAAGATCTACTTGGCCGATTGAACTGAAACTTTGTAGGAATGATCGAATCATGGTCCTGACAAAGTGTTGTTATTTTTCGGGTCAATCAGAAATACAATTTGGCTGCCATGGCCGCTATTTTGCTACTAAGTTCTAATAGGCCGATCTCACTTAAAATTGGTCTAGGAATGATCAGCTCATGGTCCTGACAAAGTTAAGTTAACATTATACTATTTTTTACTCAAATTGGTACATATTTCAACAACAAAAATAAATACTATAGACTCAGGTGACCGTTAAGGCCCATGGGCCTCTTGTTACATTTCAAGGTTGCATGAAAATTGTCGTTTTACACGAATAAATGCCACAAATCTTGATTATGTGATAAAAAAAAGATCTTACACTCGTTTTCATTTCATATGAATTTATGAAAATCGTCACAAATTTTTCAATTTAGCTCTCCAGAGGCTCGCTTAATTGAAAAATTCTTAGATTCATTTCATAAATCTCATATGTAATGGAAACTCATGTAAGATCCTATGTGAATGTTGTCAACCAGCTGATAGGAGTTTTGTGTTATTAGTTAATACAGGGGGAGGAGTACCCCCCGCTGGAGAAGGATGCCCCCGTGGATATGGTGTACCCCCCTGGTACCCCTGAGGAAAGGAGGTTTGCCATTGGTCAGAAGGTGTTTGGACTGCTGCCTGGCCTCTTTATGTATGCCACCATTTGGCTGCGGGAACATAATCGTGTGTGCGACATCCTCAAAACTGAACATCCTGACTGGGATGATGAAAGATTGTACCAGACTGGCAAACTCGTTATACTGGGTAGGTTATAAACATTAAATCACTACTTATAAGCTCCCCTGGACAAAAATGAACCATCTGAGCTGATGCCATGGTGTTTTATCCATCGTCCTTTCGTTAATTTTCCCTTTAAAGTTCCAAGAAGTCCAGATTGCCCAGTGGATTCTGACAAAGAGACTCACCGATTAAAAAAATGGAAGATTATGGCCCACCAAACACTTCTTATACTGGGTAGGTTATAATAAACACTGAAACTCTTATTATATTGGGTAGTTGATTGAAAAATGATTACAAGATGTGTATTTTATTGTTAAGGGGAGACCATTTAAATTATGACAGGTCCGACTCCTACCATTGTCCATTGTTTCAGGGACGACAATCGTGACTGATGTTTATCATAATGACTAAATTAAAACTGGGTATATTTGTATCAAATACTAGCAATGAGAAATGTTTTTTTTTATTACAAAGGGGGATTGTATCTATTGTACAGGTACATGTATAATGATTGAATTTTAATGTTTAAGGGGAGACAATCAAAATAGTGATAGAGGACTATGTGCAGCACTTGAGTCACTATAACTACCAGCTGCTGTTCAGACCAGAACTCCTGTTTGGTGAGCAGTTCCAGTACCAGAACAGAATCACAGTCGAGTTCAACCATCTTTACCACTGGCATCCACTGATGCCCAGTGAGTTCAACGTCAGTGGCACCACCTACAGCCTCCGAGAATTCGTATATCACCCAGAGGTCGTTCTCAAACATGGCATGCACGATTTTGTGGATTCTCTGTCAAGACAACGGGCTGGAGCGGTATGTTCACTTGAAGACTTTTACAAAATTCACTGTACCAAATATTTAAAGAACTTAAGAATGTATTACCAGGGTAGTCCTGTTTTAGAATATTGTTGAAATCAATGAACACAGATCATTGAATCTGTGTCATATAATAGTATACAGACATATTCATAATCTATAACTTATTTTTTTATTATAACCTTTGACTAAAGCTAAGATTTCTTGTTGTGCAGTTTGGTCCCTTTAACCATGGTCCATTGACTATCCCTGTGGTAACAGATCTGCTCAAACAGGGACGCCAGCTCAGGCTGCAGCCCTACAACCAATACAGGAAAAAGTTCAACCTGCCTGCCTTCAAAACCTTTGAGGAAATGACAGGTAATTGGGATCACCATCCAGCAAAATAGATTTTCTTTTGTAATAAAACAAAAAATTACAATACAACTTCATTATAAGGGCCCTCATTTTATCACATACCTGTTGAATCTTTTTATAGTAATACAACGTTCTGTATTGCACATGTGCGAACTGAAAAGTTCCCAGTATTTGCAAAAGAAAACAAAGTTTATAAAATCGTTGTATTGATCTCTTCCAAATACGGAAGGTATGTGATAAAAGCAAGACCACACACATGCGCACTCGTGAATATATTCATCCGCGCAATAAATGAGTGCTTTCTGATTCGTTAGAAAAACACAAGTGTGTGGTCTTGAATATTTATTTGCCACCATGCTTATGTCAAAGTCCCCTTTTCCTTTTGTTTTGGCATCAACTTTCTACTTCTTTCTTGATGTATCTCCAACCCTTTGAATATGCCAATGCTTTGCGGGAGAAATGGTGACAGAGTGATGTTTTAATGTACTATAATAACTTATTTTTGTACATTTAATTGATTTCTAACAGGATTATTAATGTTATCGTAAAGTTTTTTTTATAACTGATTGTGATAATGTACCCATTGACATAATAATAATAATAATAGTTCAAGGTTCTTATATACCGCTTTATCACAACCTAGTTTGTAGGTCGTCTCAAAGCGGTTCACAAATTATTATCCGTGGTTATATGTTCCACCTCACATTAACATAACGTATCTGCTACATAACAGGTAACAAAGAGTTAGCGAAGGCCTTGGAGGAGGAGTATGGTGACATCAACGCTGTAGAATTTTATGTGGGACTTATCATGGAAAAGAGGCGCTACCGGTCGGTATTTGGATCCTCTATAGTTGAAATGGGTGGTCCCTACTCTGTAAAGGGACTCATGGCTAACCCGATATGTAGCCCCAAATACTGGAAACCTTCTACGTTTGGAGGGGATGTAGGCTTCGATATAATCAATACAGCCTCACTTAAAAAGCTTTTCTGTAACAACATTAAGGGTGATTGTCCCCTGGTGTCGTTCGAGGTGCCGGACTATGTGGAAGGGGATGTTCTACATGACGAGCTATGATGGATGTCTACACCATGGTAGTCGTTATCCACCAGATACATCTGCATTTCAATCACGAACAGACAAGGACGAGTATTTCAGTTTTCTGTTTGATGAAAACAAGAATTAATTAAGACTTAAATAAAAGTTTACAATTTTACCAATATACTTTATAATAAACATTTAGTGAAAACGGTACTGACCTTATTTCTTCATCTTTCGAAGATGTTATTCAACAATGACTTAATACAACGAAGGCCAGCCTTGTTATGTTATGTTAACAGTAATAGAAATATGACAGAATACAATCACAATATCCTGTAAAGTGTTTGTCATGTTCTTTGTTACTGAATATAGTGTATAACTCTATGTTTTTAAATAATTACAAAAAAATAGGTTGTGCAAGTGTTTCTTCAATAAACGTTTGTTTTCAAAAACCACAATCTACTTAACTTGAGAATATATTTTTTTTCTCCATCTGTGTTTTGCCTCGTGTAAATAAAACTGTAGGTTATTTACATTTCGTGATTTTTACTCACCCTGTATACAAATTTGTTACACTTTTCATCTAGAAGAAGATTGCGCGAGAAGTAAAACGTCACCAATCACTGATATACAATTTAACTGAGACAATTAATCATCAATACATCATCTCAACGAATCCTATTTTTTATACCTTTTTTAAGGATTTATTTATAGTGATAATATGGCAACTAATTGTACTTTGTATCAAAAATGTGTATAATAAGTTTTTGTATCAAAATCCTGTCTCAGACATACTGACATTTTCCCATTTTTCCATTTCAAAAACCTTGATGGTGTTTTTTCATTGAATAGGGCTATTTTATTATGGAATCGGATTCTCAACTGATATTTAGTTAGTGCATAAAGGAATAACATTACTGATTCTCCACAATTCGTCTCGGACCTCATTAAAACACGAGATGAAACTGCAGCCGTTTGAACAAACAATGCTGTGTAAACGTTTGTATGAAGACATGTTTAAGTTAGTGATTTATCTCAGTTTCACCCTAAATGAAAAAATCTTGTTGTCAAAGCGATATTTTTTAAAACTAATTTGTGATGCATTTAATTATGTATGGGATATTGTAAAATATCCTTTAGAGATACAGACATTATTCTTTTTCTTTTTCTTTAAAAAAAGAACTTTTCATAATACAGGCATTATTACACATCATATCCCAAAACGAAGCATTCTACCATGCGTCAGTGTGAAATCACCCAAATGTGAGATATGAAATCATTGTTTAGTATGTTGATCGTTTAAAGAAGTGAAGTGTGCCACTAACGTTTTGTCTGCTGGAAAACACACCTGTTATATGGGTAAGCTCTTAATTATCAATGGGAAAGTCAATCCACATCGTAAAAGCTTTAGATCTGATGTCAAATCGCCTGGTTTCTCAGTTATCTATAATGGATGTATGATTCTGAAGTAAGTCTATATACATTGTATGTGTATTATAAGGTTTCCCAGTTACATTCCGAGTGTAAACGCTTTACCTAATTATAGATACATATAGAGTTGTATAGTTGTACTGTTACGCTGTTTCCTTACCGAGTGTATATATATGCTCTACATAAATTACATATGTACAGTATATAGGTATAATAAGGTTGTGAAGTTATGCTATTTCTGTACTGTGTGTATATGCTTTGCATAATTGGTCGGATTGCAACACAATCACGGCTTATAGATTGGGGATTCCCGTCCGTCCGTCCGTCTGTCTGTCTGCACTAAGGTTAAGAAGAATGGTTAAGCTCAGTTTCCAAGTTATTTATTATCCTACATCAACTAAACTTGCATGGCTTAATGTATCTTAAAGGATGCTTATCACATGTGATGCTTTACATGAAAATGTACTGTAGCAATCCGGCCATATCTCCATCAGCGGTTTCTTGTTTTATATGTACTGATGTAACAAGGTTGTAAGGTTATGTCGTTTCCGTGCTGAATACATGTCAGTGATTTTTGGGAAACAGATGTTTAAATCGTGGATTTATGGTTTTCCTGTGGGACTTTCCCACATTTTCAGAACGTAATATTATCTTTTTGTAAATGATGTTCATGACTTGTCTGGGGAAAGAAACCTACAAAAATCGCTGATATAGATCTACTCGGGTTTTTTAGGTCACCTGAGCTTAAAAGCTGAATTTAATTGCTATCCTTCTTCGTCCGTCGTCCTGCGTCCGTTAACATTTTACATTTTCAACTTAGGCTGAAATACTGTGGAAGGGATTTCATTGATACTTAATGGGAATGTTACTGACATCTCCATGACAAAGTGTTGTTGTTTTTCGGATCGATCAGAAATCCAATATGGCTGCTATGGCCGCCATTTTGAAAAACTATTTCAAACTTAAGGTCAAGTTTTAGTGGGCCGATTGAACTGAAACTTGGTAGGAATGGTCAACTCATGGTCTTGACGAAGTGTTTTTAAAAATGCAATACGACCGCCACAGCCGCTATTTTGAAAAAAAAAAAATCAAACTTTAAATCAAGTACTAATTGGCCGATTTAACTGAAACTCTGTCTAGGAATGATCAACTCATGGTCCTGACAAACCTTACTTAACGTTATACTTCGATTATTTTTTACTCAAATTGGTAGGGATGATTGACATCATTATCTCCACTTCATATTTCAACAACAAAATAAATACTGTAGGACTCAGGTGACCGTTAAGGCCCATGGGCCTCTTGTTTCTCTAAAACTTATTAACAGTGACCTTGACCTTACCGAGAATATCACCCTGAAACACAAATTCCCTCAAGGTACTTATACCTAACAATTGTATGAAGTTTCCTTAAAACCTGTTCCAGAAATTACATGACTAATACTAAGAGAAACAAAAGAGTTCCAATACGTATGTTCAAGGTATAAAGGTCCCCCTTAAACTTTAATCAGTTAACATGTTAAATTGTATTGAAATATTGAATTACATGTGTTAGTTCTTAATTTTGTTTCACAAATGTGTTGTAGAAATTTGATATGAGACTGTATGTATAGGTGAACAGGTGGAAGTTTTGAGTAATTAATTCGCTACCTATTTGTATTGTACGCGCAAGTTGTTGTTACAATTTATGTACAAAATAGATTGATGTCCCCTTATTCAAGCCGATTTGATGTACACACCTGGTGCACCATTCGACGTATATCTGAATTACCTATCACCAAACAATTCCTGTACCATTGTCATTCCTATCAGTATTTATCAGTACTACAATTGAACTTACATGTTTTCCTGGTGAGGAAAATGACCATTTTCATACGATTTCCTTAATTGTATATGAATACATATTTTTACATGTATTATATATACTGACATAAATAAGAGCTTTAGCTTTCTGGACAAATATTAAAACTTTATGATCAATTTTGAAAGAGATTCTAAAGAAGAGCTTTAAAAAAACAGGTAAAAATTTAACTTACCATAGGTCAAAGTTATTTTGCTAGCACCTCTCCTACAGGACATTAGAGGAAGCTGAAGTTCTATTTCTAAGGGTAAATACAAAAACTATATACACTGTAGCATGTGCAACGAAGTTTGGATTGATTTTACATCCTGTCATTCATAAAACATAACATCACTGAAATTTCCTGTGAGATCTGTCACCAGGAAGTTCAAATTTGATAAATTTATGAGATTGATGAATATTAAAGTTAAAATTCATTTACGTACTGTTTGATAGTAAGGTTGAAATATCTGCTTGTGTATGTGAATGCTCATTAAGTTAATTTTAAGTGCACATATTTTAATTAAGTAAGCTTGGGTCATTTTCCATTGATCTTGTGTGAGTTTGATGAGATGCTTTGTACCTCCATTGATATCGTGTGAGTTTGACGAGATGCTTTGTACCTCCATTGATCTCGTGTGAGTTTGATGAGATGCTTTGTACCTCCATTGATCTCGTGTGAGTTTGATGAGATGCTTTGTACCTCCATTGATCTCGTGTGAGTTTGATGAGATGCTTTGTACCTCCATTGATCTCGTGTGAGTTTGATGAGATGCTTTGTACCTCCATTGATCTCGTGTGAGTTTGATGAGATGCTTTGTACCTCCATTGATCTCGTGTGAGTTTGATGAGATGCTTTGTACCTCCATTGATCTCGTGTGAGTTTGATGAGATGCTTTGTACCTCCATTGATCTCGTGTGAGTTTGATGAGATGCTTTGTACCTCCATTGATCTCGTGTGAGTTTGATGAGATGCTTTGTACCTCCATTGATCTCGTGTGAGTTTGATGAGATGCTTTGTACCTCCATTGATCTCGTGTGAGTTTGATGAGATGCTTTGTACCTCCATTGATGTATCGTGTTTGAATGTGAATGTGAAATAAATATAAATAAAGACATTTTCTTCTGTTTTTTTTATACCATCACAAGTAAGGGTGCCACTAGTACCCTTGTATACTGTAAAACCAAATATGGTTGATATCCATCTTACAGTTCTTGAGTAAAAGCAACAAGGGCAAAATCCATCTTTTAAAAGGTTATAGAAATCACTTAAAGTAGTTTGACTAAATTACTCTACTTTGCTCTGTCCCATCAGCTCTTCCACTGTACAATTTAAAATCCCCACCACTTGGAAGAACTTCAAATGTAATCTAGTTAATATCTATATATTAAATTCACCGTGAAAAGCAATATTGGCAAAGTATCCCTTTCTAGCCCTACCTGTCATTTACCCCACAAAGTATCCCTTTCTAGCACTACTTGTCAGTTACCCCACAAAGTATCCCTTTCTGGCCCTATCTGTCAGTTACCCCACAAAGTATCCCTTTCTAGCCCTACCTGTCAGTTACCCCACAAAGTATCCCTTTCTAGCCCTACCTGTCAGTTACCCCACAAAGTATCCCTTTCTAGCCCTACCTGTCAGTTACCACACAAAGTATCCCTTTCTACCACTACCTGTCAGTTACCACACAAAGTATCCCTTTCTGGCCCTATCTGTCAGTTACCCCACAAAGTATCCCTTTCTAGCCCTACCTGTCAGTTACCACACAAAGTATCCCTTTCTGGCCCTCTCTGTCAGTTACCCCACAAAGTATCCCTTTCTAGCCCTACCTGTCAGTTATCACACAAAGTATCCCTTTCTAGCCCTGCCTGTCAGTTACCCCACAAAGTATCCCTTTCTAGGCCTACCTGGCGGTTACCCCACAAAGTATCCCTTTCTAGCCCTACCTGTCATTTACCACACAAAGTATCCCTTTCTAGCACTACTTGTCAGTTACCCCACAAAGTATCCCTTTCTGGCCCTATCTGTCAGTTACCCCACAAAGTATCCCTTTCTAGCCCTACCTGTCAGTTACCCCACAAAGTATCCCTTTCTAGCCCTACCTGTCAGTTACCCCACAAAGTATCCCTTTCTAGCCCTACCTGGCGGTTACCCCACAAAGTATCCCTTTCTAGCCCTACCTGTCGGTTACCCCACAAAGTATCCCTTTCTAGCCCTACCTGTCAGTTACCCCACAAAGTATCCCTTTCTAGTCCTACCTGTCAGTTACCCCACAAAGTATCCCTTTCTAGCCCTACTTGTCAGTTACCACACAAAGTATCCCTTTCTAGCCCTACTTGTCAGTTACCACACACAGTATCCCTTTCTAGCTCTACTTGTCAGTTACCCCACACAGTATCCCTTTCTAGCCCTACCTGTCAGTTACCTGGGGTATCAGCACTTCCATTTGTATGATTTTGAATCACTGCCCAATACAGATGTTTATTTCTGATTAAAACCAGATATTTTATTCCACTCTGATACGCAAAAAGTATGTCCATCCTTTGACTGAGTGAAACGTAGAGTATCAGGATGGAATAAAAGATCTGGTCATAACAAGATTGCTGTTGTTTCCATTCAAATTTGGTAAAGTTCTGTCCAGTGATTCAGAATAAGAAATCATTTTAAGAATTTATTGTTGGACAGCAAACACCAAAGTACAGTATAAGCTTACCTTGGTTATTTGGACCAGATGAGCCGATACTCAACATCTGAATACAAACTACAATGAGTACTGGTATTTAGATGGTTTAAGCCACTTACATGGCCTACTGAGTCTCACCAATCTTTCCTATAGAACACGGCATAAAACACATACAATTACAATTTTTTAATTTAATGCATTAAAATATAGATCCATTTCAACAAACAAATATGTATTTACTTTGTCTTTGTAACACACTTTTGACATCATTTCTTAATATTTCACTTTTAAACATCTCAAACAGACATACTTGATAAAGTTGACTTGATCTTATTATTCAAACCGGAAAATCAGTAAAACTGATGGATAATGCTCCCTAAACATGTCACCAAGACTGGAATAAAGTATGACCTCAATGTGACCCTGACCTCAGACGTACACACCTTAAAGTGGTATGCAACACACCGCCTTGCGATCCTACATATATCCCTTATAAGGACTAGGGGCGTTAAAGGTCATTTCTGGCCTCATCAGGGATTGATAATGTGCTGTTTTATTCGTAATCTGGAATAAATGAAGTACGCAAATATGAAATTTCAAATTATTTATCATTTGGTTAAGGAGATAATTATGGCATTACAAATAGAAACATAAACCCGTGTTTTCGTAATAAAATGTGTGAATATCGTATGTTGTGTGCTATTTTGGTTGAAAATTGGCCATTTTGAAGGAAATCAACTAAACACTCTTCAATTTTTGAAAGCCTCCGGATGCAACAAACAAATACATATTTGACATGCTTGAACATCGTCATATCAGTGTTCATTCGTAGAAAGGAATTTTTGTTTGTCAAATGTTGATGCTTTCATTCCTGCATGCCAACTGTCTGAAAACACCATGTTTTGGCTATTTCTGCATAGCAACGCAATTTTGTTGCTATGGTAGGGCATTTTGGCATGCGCATTTGAAAAAATCTGCACCAAGAAAGAAAGCCCAAATTCACTAATAAGATGTTTATAACAAGAATAGGTAAATAAATTCAAGTTGAAAGTTGAGGTCAAAAATGACCCATAAGTTCTTTCATAGAGTTACCCTGAGAGTCAGTAGTTATGATGACGAATTTGACCTTTTAATTCAATGTGACCTTGACCTCAGGTTTATGAACCCAATTGTTGTTTGTTACACACTCTCTTGCAATCCTACATTTATCACTTCAATTATACTGAGTTATTTTCAGCTTACCAGAAGTTATAGGCCAAAAAATGAATTTGACCCTTTACCTAAATGTGACCTTGAGTTTAGGTGTACAGATCTAGATCTAATACATTGTAGTAGTACATGACACACTGTCTTGTCATTCAGCAAGTCAAAGTTTTGGCCCGAATAATGAATTTGACTATTGACCTCAATGTGGCCTTGTTCTTGGGCATACAGACCAAATAATGGTATGCAACACTATACTTTTTTTGAGGATCGTATTTTTTTTTCGAAGAGCATAACAAATATTTTGTTACTTCACCCAATCCGTTGACCTCTAGGTTATATTAGCTGCATACATTGAGATCAATTTCAAGTAAACATTTGGCTAAGTCCTGATGATAATTGTTTATTTTCAGCTCGTTGGCCATTCTGAGCTATCGTGAGCAGGTTTTGTATAAACTTGTTATTGGGATTGAACTGTAGTCCTTTATTGAAGTCTTGGGCTGCTGCAGAGTAGTCTCCCTTCGCCAGGTATGCCTGGCCTCTCCTTACATGTCCTTTAACATTTTTGTGGTCTAGAATCAAAGCCTTTGTGCAGTTTGTGATGACATGATCCGCTGCCGAGGGAAACCTGAGTTGGCATGCTGCCAGGTTGAGATGACACTGATACAGTAGTTTATCAATATCTCCAGGCACATCAAGGCCCTTGTCAATCAGGAGGAGATACTTTGTGGCTCTACTAAATTGTCTGAAGGCACTTTTTATCTCCTCCTGTTTGAAGAGTTCCACCCCAGTTTGTTTGTGTTGTTTTGCTTGCTCGTACTTCTGGGAATTGGTCAGGAGTGGCCAGCCTGGAGGGTTGTCAAAGTGCTGTAGGTTTATGGTAACCACACAGGGCCTGTCAAACCAATCAAACGCCTCGTTACTTTGAAACATTGCGACTTCCTCTTTCCTCATTGTGGTTATGCATTTGTCAATAAATAGATCTTGCTCCCCGTCCAGTTCGCCAATAGTGAAAACTAGAGAAGTCTCTGCACTATATTGTCTACTGGATGCTGGAAAATCTTTTGCATCTACAATAACTGAGCATGTCGTTTGTTCCAGAGGTCTGGCCAGGCCTACCCCTTCTACAATAATGGTTTTGCTAAAGAGGCCTGATCTGTCTAATCGTGGTAGAGAAACTTCAAGGCATTCCTCTGTCTCCATGATCTCCATAGTGTTACATTAGGAGTCTTGACATCAATCTGGGGGAAAAAATCATCACATGTATACATAATTAATAAAATGGAAGGAAAAGTAAAAAAGAAAACCCTATGCAGGGTTAGAATTACAGAATTAACACATGGACTAGAAAAGCAAAAATTGGAAAATACTACCCCAATTGACTAACGGTATATTAAAAACTGCAAAAGTAATTTCTAGCCCTGTTATGCATGGTAGCAAATCATTTTTTTTTTAATTCATGTTACATCAGTAATTTGCTCCAGCTGATCACATCATTGTTATTAAATCTTACGCCCCCCCCCCCCTCCCCCCCGCATCCATTTAAACAAAAAAACAAAAAAAAATCACCTTGCATCAAATTATAAATTAAAAAAATACACTCTAAAAAATGTATCACAGACGCACTTAAGGCAGCCTCAAGCAGAGATCTGGGTCTTAACTAAAGACCTCAAGCTGATCAGCATCCAATCTTGATTTTGTCGTAGAAGGGCTTTGCGTTTTTGGCCCTCGCACATTGGCATTATAGAACAGATACACTGCATTAATATTGCTGTCAGCAACTCATCACTATTTCACTTCTCTAGGTCTTATCATCAGGTTTTATTGTATTAATTCCTTCATCCTTCCAGGATGCTATCCCGTAACCTGAAGAGAGACTTTAATATAATTTTCTGAATCAATTGCCCTTTCTTGAAAATAGGGGAAAATAGTAAAAAAAGCATGGCCAGACCATGATTCGAACCTGGGACCCTCCGAACTCTAGACGAAACGCTCTAACCAATTGAGCTAACCCGTCACCAGCGATCGACACAGTCTTGTTCCGCTACATTCCTCCCTCCTTTTTCTAAGTCTTAAACCCAGAAGACACAACTATTTACAACCCAGATTCAGGTATCCCCTTGTCAAGCATACACCAAGTTCTTGACAAGGTTTTGATCACAGGCACTAAATGTAATAGGAGCAGAAAAATGCACGGCCAGATCGGGGTTCAACGTGGGACCCTCCAAACTCTAGACAGACTTTTTAACCAATTAAGCTAACTGGTCGCCGGCAATCAACCCAGTCTAGTTCCGCTTCATTTTAATAGTGATGTATGGTGGCGAGTGACAATATTTTTTCTTTTCTAAATCAAATTTTTTGAAATAATAAATTGATATAGTTTTGAAGGGATTTTGCCCATTAGCCACCAAAAATACAGTGAGTGTGTCCGCATTTGTAAATTAACATAGACTGTACATCGCAATTTCTCTGCATGCATTTTTCTTTTCTGTTGACTAGATGATCAAATTCTATCATTATTAAATTTCAGAGGCTATGGATGTACTGATTGTACAACAAAAGTAAAGAGAACGTGCAACAAAAGTAAACCTGATGTGTATATGTATTGTACATATATATATAAACACCACATGACCAAGGATTTGCGATGACATTGCGCTCAAACGCCCTAGTAGTACTTAACGTCACACTGTACAGTGTACACGACGTCATCTAGAATTAATGTATATTTTCCTTGTAAGATACACGTAAATTTAACATAAATAAGATATATAATGCCCTATATTTTCAGAAACTGAATAAATGAAAGCGATCCATTACACCCGGAATATTACAAACATAAGCGGCAGTAGCCAAACAGTATCTAAGTTATTCCGCCCAATAAAATATACGATACCTGCAGGGATGCTTCAACAAGAACGAATTCCACGTCCAACAACAAATCGTTGTTGTTATATTGTTGGCTAGTTTGTTTGTTGTGAATCACAACTAATTGGCATGGGGTAAAACGCGGACAAAACAGCCGATACTTGACGGATCATCGGATATGCGAACCGTGCCACCTTTTCCAGTAAAATGTTGCTGCACATTTTATATGTAAACATAATTTGATATATACACTGTTCACCTAATTAATTGATTCATTTTCAAAATGACAAAACGATATGGATGTGTATTGGTGGATTTAGGACAGAATGTCCGATCATAAAATTGAACACGTAACTTATCATATCTTTTAAAGACAACCAAACCTCGATTTCCATTTCCCCCTTTTGAGATAGGCTAGATTAATAGAATATATCGCTAGTGGTTGTGTAAGATAGAGAAATCTCAACCCGAGGACTAAGATTTTTTGTCCAGAACGAGGCTTGCCGAGTTCTGGACAAAAAATCTTAGTCCGAGGGTTGAGATTTCTCTATCTTACACAACCAGTAGCGATTGATTATTTTTCTCCCATATCTAACAGTATTTTAATGTGAAATAATGGTAAACATGGACCCAAAACACATACAGGCAATTTGTTGATGGATTGTTGACGTGACGTCATTGTATTGTTGAAGTGACGTCATGCCATTGTTATGAATAGGGGAATCCCTCCGTCTCAACCCTAGTGCGGAGACAGATAAATCTAGCACCGGCAAAACGGGAGATAAATCCGTCAGGTGTGGGAGAAAAAAATCAAACGCCTTGCTGTAGATGTATTACCGGATTATTTTTTTTCACGGATCGGATAGTGAAGTTTTGATGGCTCAGTTTTTTCTTGTAGAATTCCGTAATATACCCCTTCCCAAAAAGAAAGGAGTAAGAGGAACCGGAAGTTAAAGTAAATTGACAGGCCGACTCTGGTTTTGCTGTTTTTGCCATGTTGGCACAGACCTGTTCATTTTTATGGGAACTGTAGCGTTCAGCGAGAAATTCTTAGGTGAGTGAAGTCTTCCAGTAAGTTATTTTAGATGCTAAATATTCCTGCGATGATTGTAAATTAGTTACTTGTTGTAAATATGTGTGTCATAAGCTCGACCCCCCCTTCTCGATTACCAACGTCACTTCGCCCAGGCACAGGGTTTCGTTACAAATGTCACAGCACACATATACACATTATATGTGTGATGTGACACTTTTCGATATATTATATGTGTATTTAAGTCATTTGTAACGAACCCCTGTTGTCCAGGGGCTTGTTGAGCTTAGTTGAAGGTGTGATACCGGTAATACTTCCGAGTTATTGTGTATCAAGATAGTCACCTCCGAGAACAAATCCATCCATTTATAGAGTCCCCAGTATCATAGTCGAAGTATAGAGTCCCCAGTATCAAAGTCGAAGTATTAGAGTCTCCAGTATCATAGTCGAAGTATAGAGTCCCCAGTATCTTAGTCGAAGTATAGAGTCCCCAGTATCATAGTCGAAGTATAGAGTCTCAAGTATCATAGTCGAAGTATAGAGTCCCCAGTATCATAGTCGAAGTATAGATTCTCCAGTATCATAGTCGAAGTATAGAGTCCCCAGTATCATAGCCGAAGTATAGAGTCTCAAGTATCATAGTCGAAGTATAGAGTCCCCAGTATCATAGTCGAAGTATAGAGTCCCCAGTATCATAGTCGAAGTATAGAGTCCCCTGTATCAAAGTCGAAGTATTAGAGTCTCCAGTATCATAGTCGAAGTATAGAGTCCCCAGTATCATAGTCGAAGTATAGAATCCCCAGTATCAAAGTCGAAGTATTAGAGTCTCCAGTACCATAGTCGAAGTATAGAGTCCCCAGTATCATAGTCGAAGTATAGAGTCCCCAGTATCATAGTCGAAGTATAGAGTCCCCAGTATCAAAGTCGAAGTATTAGAGTCTCCAGTATCATAGTCGAAGTATAGAGTCCCCAGTATCTTAGTCGAAGTATAGAGTCCCCAGTATCATAGTCGAAGTATAGAGTCCCCTGTATCAAAGTCGAAGTATTAGAGTCTCCAGTATCATAGTCGAAGTATAGAGTCCCCAGTATCATAGTCGAAGAGAAATCAAGTTTTAGGTATAATCATCCTAAAAGTCAATTCTGTATTGGAGGAGACTGGAACTTACTCGACATAGACTGGAAAACGCTGAACAGTTACAGGGAACCAATACCCAAGGGAGACAATTACACTGTTCCTGGACCTGGCTACCAATATCATCCACATGCTTCACTATTATACAAGGTTATGTTAACAGCTGGATCAGTGCATCATGTTAGGTAGACAGTATTCTTTTACCTAAATTTTACAACCTCCTTTTCCTTTATGAATTTGGGAAAATATAGCATTATTTTTATTGAAATTGGTAATATATTCCTCATATTGTGGTGTACGTAGAGATCAGGTGTGATGATCGAGGATGCTACTTGACACAGTGGCAGTAGTATCTGGAGTTACCCCCAGGTTATTGTCTGGCTCCTGTCACAGTGATATTATTTTATGCATAATGGAAGTGATATTTTTCAATGCCTCTGTTAACCCTTTCACCACTGTAGACCATAATGGACTCCTCCATATCAATACATGGTAGAGTCTTCTGAAGTAAGATAGCTATATATAGGGTTGAAAGGGTTAAAGGATAGGACAAGACACCTCTGGTTTTCTAGTATGATGCACTACTTAATGTAATGCCAATATAAGACAAATTCTCCCCATATACTGTAGCTATATATAGCTAGCTGGGAGCAATAGGAAGGGGCTAACATTTTACCAGGTTGGCATATTTAAATGATTTACCATAGAACATGAATAAGGTCAAAAGACCCATTTTAATTATTCACTGTGAAATGATGGTCTGCCTTCCTATCACCTTAAACACTGATGTTCAACACCTACATGTACAACAGTTGTCAACAGGATGGACAAACTCACACTAGGAGAGAATAATAGAAATCTATAGTACATGTATATCACCTCAAATAATGTCAGGTTATCTCCATCACCATCAACAATACTGGTAGGTTATCTCCATCACCATCAACAGTACTGGTAGGTTATCTCCATCACCATCAACAACACTGGTAGGTTATCTCCATCACCATCAACAATACTGGTAGGTTATCTCCATCACCATCAACAGTGCTGGTAGGTTATCTCCATCACCATCAACAGTGCTGGTAGGTTATCTCCATCACCATCAACAGTGCTGGTAGGTTATCTCCATCACCATCAACAGTGCTGGTAGGTTATCTCCATCACCATCAACAGTGCTGGTAGGTTATCTCCATCACCATCAACAGTGCTGGTAGGTTATCTCCATCACCATCAACAGTGCTGGTAGGTTATCTCCATCACCATCAACAGTGCTGGTAGGTTATCTCCATCACCATCAACAGTACTGGTAGTTTATCTCCATCACCATCAACAACACTTGTAGGTTATCTCCATCACCATCAACAACACTGGTAGGTTATCTCCATCACCATCAACAACACTGGTAGGTTATCTCCATCACCATCAACAATATTGGTAGGTTATCTCCATCACCAGCAACAATACTGGTAGGTTATCTCCGTCACCATCAACAATATTGGTAGGTTATCCCCATCACCATCAACAATACTGGTAGGTTATCCCCATCACCATCAACAATACTGGTAGGTTATCCCCATCACCATCAACAATACTGGTAGGTTATCCCCATCACCATCATCAATACTGGTAGGTTATCGCCATCACCATCAACAATACTGGTAGGTTATCACCATCACCATCAACAATACTGGTAGGTTATCCCCATCACCATCAACAATACTGGTAGGTTATCTCCGTCACCATCAATAATACTGGTAGATGGAAATTCAGTTATCCTTATGTCATAATTATTATAACTTAGCTTGAGCACTTACATTGGACAAGTGTGCGAATAAAGCAACTAAAACTTCAGGCTTCTTGAAAAGGAACATCAATGTTGGGTCAGCCAAGGCTAAAGTATACACCTACATGACCTCTACCAGATCCATTAGTATCCACAATGTTGTTGATTACTATGAGATGTCTGACCTGGTAGAAGGAGAACATGACTAGGTAACATCCACAGTCAGTGGACAGATTTCCTTTCTGGTCATGTTTGAGAGATAACTTCAGTCAATAATAATACTTATATGCATGTTGAGTACCTTATAATACGTGTACTGGTGCAAAACATGAGTTTTTGAATATATATGGCTTTGGCATTCATTGGTTTTGAGTTGACATCTTTAGATTATTGACAGTTGCTCATGATCGTTCAAAATAAAACCATATGCTAAGTTGCTATTTGTAAGTATACAAACTATTGTGCTCCAGTAAACAGAAAACCTGAAACAGGACAAAGGTGTACATTTTTCTTATTGCTGATGTTAATATTAGGTAATTAAAAATTTATTCGATCTACATACAATATAGGTATGCCGCATCACCAAAAATTGTGTTCTCACTAAGAAAACCTGTTATACAGTAGGATATGAAACATTTATTTACACATAAAATAAATTATTAATAAATGTAACAATATATGCTGAATAATTTTTACAGCAGCAAGCAGTACAGACACCTATATATACATTCTACACTGAACACATCACAGCTGACACTGAACACGTCACAGCTGACACTGAACACGTCACAGCTGAAGCAGTAAATAACTCAACATGCAACCTCAACGCAATCAAATGCAACCCATGTACAGGTAAACATTGATATACAAGACAGCGATGTAACTGTACAGTGTACACATTCAGATGTACAGGTAAACATTGACATACAAAACAGCCATGTAACTGTACAGTGTACACATTCAGATGTACAGGTAAAAATTGACATACAAAACAGCCATGTAACTGTATAGTGTACACATTCAGATGCACAGGTAAACATTGACATACACGACATCCATGTAACTGTCCAGTGTATACATTCAGATGTATAGGTAATCATTGACATACAAGACATACATGTAACTGTATAGTGTACACATTCAGATGCACAGGTAAACATTGACATGCAAGACATCCATGTAACTGAATAGTGTACACATTCAGATATATAGGTAAACATTGACGTACAAGACATCCATGTAACTTTACAGTGTACACATTCAGCTGTACAGGTAAACATTGACATCCAAGACATCCATGTAACTGTACAGCGGACACATTCAGATGTATAGATAACCATTGACGTACAAGACAACCATGTAACTGTACAGTGTATCCATTCAGATGTACAGGTAACCATTGACATACAAGACAGACATGTACCTGTACAGTGTACAAATTCAGATGTATAGGTAAACATTGACATACAAGACAGCCATGTAACTGTACAGTGTATACATTCAGATGTACAGGTAAACATTGACATACAAGACATCCATGTATGTCAATGTTTACCTGTACATCTGAAAGTGTACACTGTAGCTACATGGATGTCTTGTATGTCAATGTTTTCCTGTACATTCAGATGTACAGGAAAACATTGACATACAAGACAGCCATGTAACTGTACAGTGTATACATTCAGATGTACAGGCAAACATTGACATACAAGACATCCATGTAACTGTAAAGTGTACACATTCAGATGTATAGGTAAACATTTACATACAAGACATCCATGTAACTGTACAGTGTACACATTCAGATGTACAGGAAAACATTGACATACAAGACATCCATGTAACTACAGTGTACACTTTCAGATGTACAGGTAAACATTGACATACAAGACATCCATGTAACTGTACAGTGTACACATTCAGATGTACAGGTAAACATAGACATACAAGACATCCATGCAACTGTACAGTGTACACATTCAGATGTACAGGTAAACATTGACATACAAGACATCCATGTAACTACAGTGTACACTTTCAGATGTACATGTAAACATTGACATACAAGACATCCATGTAACTACAGTTTCCACTTTCAGATGTACAGGTAAACATTGACATACAAGACATCAATGTAACTGTACAGTGTACACATTCAGATGTACAGGTAAACATAGACATACAAGACATCCATGCAACTGTACAGTGTACACATTCAGATGTACAGGTAAACATTGACATACAAGACATCCATTAAACTGTACAGTGTACACATTCAGATTTACAGGTAAACAAAAAACACACTATTTCCCAGCAAACCAATATCATGTGTCTGACTGTCAGGTCAAACATTTCAAGGATAATTTTGGATTGGGCCATTGGCTCATCAATATTCCAAATGATGAATTAATTTATAGGCCATTTTTCAATTAATGAAAAATAGAATGCCTTTTAAAATGATCTATTTGCTTGAATTTAGTCTAAATTGGCTCCTGACATAAATATACATCATGTATATAACAGTACATGTACAACTCTATATGTAAGATTGTAGAACACAAAAATATGTCTTTAACTTCCTTATATATATAGTCATACACAACTTAAACACACATCAATCTATTTTGTCAGTTCAGTATCTACACATGTACACATAGATTACATTTATCTGTACACAAATGTACATCTTCTTGTAGAATGTTCAAGAATTTAAAGAAGAAGCTTGAACAACAAGGAGAAAGTGTGAGCGACAGTGAGCGGAGTTTACCTGGATCACCCGTCCCTGTTCACCAGACCTCAACAAAACCAGGTAGTACAGCTACTTATACTGCTGTGTGTAACAGGTCTAGGGTTATCAGGGGGTTTGGGGAAACAAACTTTGGGGAGAAATTGGGCAAAAATCATCAACAGAGGGATAGTTTTGAGAAATTAAAGATTAAATATAATAATTCCAACTCTGAGTACATAATAAGTAAGACTTTTATATAAGCCTATCTTTACAACAGCATGATCATTCTGTCCATCATAGGTACACCTATGCTTCCTTTTGAGAATTCAAACAGTCATGAGTAATTTATTTTAGTTTATGGTGGGTTTTTTTTGGGGGGGGGGGGGGTCTCAAATGTGAATTTCAAAAGGGCAATTTGGGAAAAAATCACCCACTTTTTCCTGGAACAGACCTAAAAAGTACACTGATAAAGCCCTGCAGAAACTTGTACAATGTTCTTTTACACTAGACACGTGTACCAGTGTGTCTCCTGTTCCTTTACACTAGACACGTGCACCAGTGTGTCTCCTGTTCCTTTACACTAGAAATGTACACCAGTGTGTCTCCTGTTCCTTTACACCAGATCTATTGATTTCCTTCTGTTTATATCATTTACACAGTATTTGAGAAAAGGTCAAGAATCATATCTGGTTGACTACAGTGTTTTCTGCTTACAGTTTCATAAGAATAATTTGGAACACTACAGACGAGGTTACTGCACTCTTGTCGTTGTAACCTGACTTTTTTTCCTATATGACTATTTTTATGAGCATTATGCCTGCTTTACAACGTTGTTAGCAAAGTCTTGTCCAAACTCTGTCAATTTTCATTGAAATTCCACTTTTTAAAATTTGATTATTTAGATTAAACCTAGAATGATTAGCCAGTTCTTGTCGGAACGCTTCCTCCTACAGTTGTCATCCAAATTGTGGGAATACGTATTAGTATGCATGTAGATTTCAGTTCTTAAGCTAGGGTCAAGCAGTTACAGAGAGGTTTTCAAACCATTTAGGTTTAATTTGTTACATTCTGTTACGTAGGTACCCAAGTTTCCAGTCCCCTTAGCAGGGATCGTCATGGGTACGAGTCTGATTCGGGAGCCAGTTACACAGGTAGCTATGCTGGTGCAGGTCATGCTGTAAACTCAAGACCGACAGCAGAGGTAAGTTATTTTGGTGTAGCTGTATCATTGTTGAATATGATATTGGCTTAACTCTATTATTTGTATGGTAATTATTTTGTAAGCTCACATACAATAGTAATGTAGACCATACAATAGGGAATTTAGAATAACTTCAGTATAATAATACACCATAATGATGTTGGAAAGATTTGAAAATAATTCAGGGACAGGTTCTTACTCACCACGAAAAGTGCTGGAATTGAGCTCACTGCTTGAAAAGTTGTGGAAAATATGCTTGCCTTGGTAAAGTGTTGGGATTTGCTATTTTCTTAGAAAAATGCTAGAATATAGTTATTGACATGAATCTATATTGGAGAGAGTTAACTTTCATTTTTTTCATAAAGGTCTGTTTCAAAGATTTCTGTTGATATTAATTTATAAAATATATGCATCATTTATTTTAAATCTTTTGGGATTCATTTTAATTTTGTGCAACATACCCAGTAACAGTACGTGTACATTAAGTAAAAACAGAAATTATTGACCATCTTTTTACCTGACACGAAAAAATTCCATAAAACTGCTTGAACCTGCTGGAACTGTGCTTGAATTTTGTTCTGAAATGTCTATTAACTTTTAGTAATCTAATTTCTGTCTGTTGTATTGACAGTTCACAGGGACTCCAGAGGAACTGACAGCTGCCTTGTCAAAGAGATCAGAACAGTGTAAAAAGTATGAGGCTACAATCAAAGGTATGGAAGTATTTAAAAATAGTTAGGCTAAATTAAAATGTAGGGTAAAGTTAGGCTTAATTAAAATGTAGGGAAAGTTAGGCTTAATTAAAATGTAGGGTAAAGTTAGGCTTAATTAAAATGTAGGGTAAAGTTTGGGTTCATTCTACAGTCGAAAGTAGGGTATGGTTGAGTTCAAACTACAATCAAAGGTCAAATTTAATAACGGTTATTTTCAGGATTTTTTTTTTTTTTTTTTTTTTAAATCTGACCCCAAAAACGTACCCGCACACTAGACCCGAATGCGCACTATACCCGCAAATTTACGGTATGTATGTAAATGCTTAAGTTCAGGGGAGTGTTAAATGGCAGCTATGTATACATAAGGTTGGTTGTAGGTAATGTTCAAGTGGACTTGATGCAATAATGAAAATTATAAAAATGTTTTAAATGAGGTTTCAATCAAAAGGTATGGAAATGTTTAAATTAAGACAGAAATTCAAAAAAGATGAATTTTTAAGTTATGGCTGAAATGAAAATGAAATGTAGGGGAATATCTGAGGTGAGTAATATTTTAAAAGTGTTTGAACATATTGAATCACAATCGGACCGATTTTATCTCATTCTGATGAGAACCAGGGTCAGTTTGTATACATTACTTGTTCCTTATGTAAGATTGATTTGACGTTGGCATTGGCAAAACCATGTTCATGTTTACAGAGTATGCTGCAATAATCAAAGACAAGAACAGAAACACCGAGAAGCTTGAGCAGACATTGAAGAAACAAGAGGATGGTGAGTTGACGTGTACATAGTGAAGGAATGGCTTCAGTGGTATTGTAACAGCTTTAGCTCAGTCAATTATTGATAAAAACAAGCACACTTCACCAATAATATATATACATTCAAACTTGCCCGATCATGAGTGATCAATTGTCAGTTGATTCTTGTCTGGTGAAACTATTGGTCCTGATTTTCTGATGTCTTATGACTTGTAATTATCAACTTTTTGACAAACCAATGTCTTGTTTGCCAGAATGGTGACCATTGTTTTTAAATGAATACTTTTTTCATTTCAAAGTCAAAGACAACCTGAAGATTCCATTTTCAATCAACTGCATTCTCGATAAGAGATACTGAGCGAGTGATGTATCCATTTAAGAATTTTTATTAGTGACAGGTTATTTATCAGCCTATTATCAGTTGCTTGATGTACATACAATACCTACATGGTACTACCTTTACTGGAAGGTCTTGGCTCATCATTGTCATTAATATTCAGAAACTGTACAGAAAGTTCAAGAACTCCAGGAACAGTTCCAGTGCAAGCAGGCTAAGATGTCTGAAGGGTTTACTCTGGCCCTACAGAAGAAGGATGAGGTCAGTAGTAGTTAGGTCAAGGTCACGGGGTCAGTACCATGTTGTCAGAGCAAGTTATCATACTTTTGTACATGTGACAGCTGTACCTCACAACGATTGGAACTTAACAAACAGGTTCATCCCAACTAGTCAAGTGTGCTGTATACTATTTCCATGGACCTGCTCTCAAGGTCAAAGCTAACAGACAAATGTTAAATTTTCTCAAGGTCAAGAGATCAACGGCCTGTCCTGTATTTGCCTTTTCTTAGATAGCCAGGACCACTCTGTTTAGTCAACCATGGTTTATCTGTTATTTTAGAACTAAGTCAACAAAAGTGGTCAGTTATTGTAAACTTCTTAAACCAATAAAGGTCAGACTGGTAACTTTTGATAATGCTTCACTAGACATTAACATTGGTTGTAGGAGAGAGAAGAGGTGGAACAGAGATTGCAGCAGGTGGGAGACTACAAGGAGAAGTTCTTCAAGCGAGAAGAGGAAAATGATGAATTCCAAGGACTTGCCACCCAGGAACTGGCCAAGGTCAAGCACATGGTCAGTATAGCATAGTTTCGGGATAAATGTTAAACAGTTTGGAAGTTTATTTCTTTATAAGCTAGTTAAGATGAAATGAAATTTTAAACTGATTTTCTGAATCACTCTCATACAGCTCCTGGTAGGGTCTGTGAAGATTGTGTGTGATAAGAGGGGAGATAACTCGTAGAGCTATGGTATTGAGAAAGGACGACAAATCAGGATCTGGTAATAAGGCACAACAACACCAAATATCTTTGTACTCTGATAAACAGATTTATTTATTATCAAATAAATCCCAGTATTTGTAGTTAGTTATAGGAAGAAGGAGTTTACCCTTGGTTACAAATTCAGGCTGTATTTGTTGAACAGTTTTTGTTTTATTGCCAATTTTCAGCTGCTTATCACTCAGGAGGAAATGACAACATTACAACTGGAATTCAAGGATAAGTCCACAAGGTTAGACCAAAGAGAGCAGCAGGTAGAGAAATATGAACAGGAAGTAACCTCACTCCAAAGTCAGCTGGACGGCAAGGTGCTCCAATGGTATGTTCTGTAATTAAGTCTTCTATGATACCTTATGTTATAGAGTTTACAGGGATATTTAAGCGGCTTTAGAGAGGGTTAGATTTTCAAAGAATTAACATAACCCCAACTTACAATGAGTATGATAACTGTAAAGCAGGAAGTTTTTCCCCATTGACATTTTGAAAGTATGTCAAAATGGTAAACAAATTAAAATTTCAAAAGTGGGGGGCAAATATATTTCAAGAGTTGCAAATGCAAATCATAAACAATAGAATGAGTGTATTGATTTTATAGTCACTACTAACATTCTATTTTTACTCTAAACAGTGGTCAGTTGGAGGAGGAGACGCAGGCCCATTCCAAGATGGTGGCCAAACTAGCCAGTGAAAAGGAGGCGTGTGAGAAGTCTATAGAGAAGTTAAATGAGGAACTATCCCAGGTATGTCGTGACAGGCTAAAATGACTCCGGAGATAAAGCTCCAGTGACAGGGTAAAATGACTCCGGAGATAAAGCTCCAGTGACAGGGTAAAATGACTCCGGAGATAAAGCTCCAGTGACAGGGTAAAATGACTCCAGAGATAAAGCTCCAGTGACAGGGTGAAATGACTCCAGAGATAAAGCTCCAGTGACAGGCTAAAATCACCCCGGAGATAAAGCTCCAGTGACAGGGTAAAATGACTCCGGAGATAAAGCTCCACAGGGTAAAATGACTCCGGAGATAAAGCTCCAGTGACAGGGAAAAATGACTCCGGAGATAAAGCTCCAGTGACAGGCTAAAATGACTCCGGAGGTCAGCTCCAGTGACAGGCTAAAATGACTCCGGAGATAAAGCTCCAGTGACAGGGTAAAATGACTCCGGAGATAAAGCTCCACAGGGGAAAATGACTCCGGAGATAAAGCTCCAGTGACAGGGAAAAGTGACTCCGGAGATAAAGCTCCAGTGACAGGCTAAAATGAGTCCGGAGGTCAGCTCCAGTGACAGGCTAAAATGACTCCGGAGACAAAGCTCCAGTGACAGGCTAAAATGACTCCAGAGATAAAGCTCCAGTGACAGGGTAAAATGACTCCAGAGATAAAGCTCCAGTGACAGGCTAAAATGACTCCGGAGATAAAGCACCAGTGACAGGGTAAAATGACTCCAGAGATAAAGATCCAGTGACAGGGTAAAATGACTCCGGAGATAAAGCTCCACAGGGTAAAATGACTCCGGAGATAAAGCTCCAGTGACAGGATAAAATGACTCCGGAGGTCAGCTCCAGTGACAGGCTAAAATGACTCCGGAGATAAAGCACCAGTGACAGGGTAAAATGACTCCAGAGATAAAGATCCAGTGACAGGGTAAAATGACTCCGGAGATAAAGCTCCACAGGGGAAAATGACTCCGGAGATAAAGCTCCAGTGACAGGCTAAAATGACTCCAGAGATAAAGCTCCAGTGACAGGCTAAAATCACCCCGGAGATAAAGCTCCAGTGACAGGGAAAAATGACTCCGGAGATAAAGCTCCAGTGACAGGATAAAATGACTCCGGAGATAAAGCTCCACAGGGTAAAATGACTCCGGAGATAAAGCTCCAGTGACAGGATAAAATGACTCCGGAGATAAAGCTCCACAGGGTAAAATGACTCCGGAGATAAAGCTCCAGTGACAGGGTAACAGTGACAATATTACAGTGACAGGTTTAACCCTTTCACCCCTATGTAACTTTTGTAGACTCGACCATGCATTGATCTTGATGAGTCCAGTATGGTCTACAGTGGTGAAAGGGTTAAGGTGACAGAGTGACTCTAACAGGGTTAAAGTGACAGAGTGACTCTGACAGGGTTAAGGTGACAGAGTGACTCTAACAGGGTTAAAGTGACAGAGTGACTCTGACAGGGTTAAGGTGACAGAGTGACTCTAACAGGGTTAAAGTGACAGAGTGACTCTGACAGGGTTAAGGTGACAGAGTGACTCTGACAGGGTTAAAGTGACAGAGTGACTCTGACAGGGTTAAAGTGACAGAGTGACTCTGACAGGGTTAAAGTGACAATGTTTTTGAGAAAGAATTATATTGACAAGGCTAACGATGATGAAAACTAAAGATAAATAAAAATTGAACAAAACATTCTTTGAACTGTTGATTTTCGACACTATATGATAGAAAGCTATATGCCTAGAGCTTTCATTGTCCTTTGTATTAAAAGTCATAGCTTTGCTTTCATAATAGGTAGAGGACTTTCTAGAGTCTTTTTGATGAGATGAGTGCAAAAAGCTCTTAATTGTTCTTCATGTATTTCCTTTTCATTTCTGATTGAATTCCCAGCTCACACTTTTACTGTTCTAATCATACGAACATCATTCAGCCCACAAAACACAGCTAGGGGACTTACTGTTTTTGCTCCATTTCTTTCTCATTTCTTCCACTTTCTTTCCCCAGCAAGGTCTCCACCACCTTTCACAAAAACTATTTGGCAAACTTGAACAAATGGAAGCAGCTTCACATTACACATGACATCTCCAGCACACAAGCATGCATAAACACATATGGAGATATTAGCCAGGTGGCATAGGACTAGTAGTTAGCGCCTGATAAGGCAGCTCCTGCGATTTCCTCAAAATTGTAATGATTAATGTATATGCTGATTGTATTAATTATATATATATGTATGCGCTTTAGAATGGCTTATGTTAGCTAGATAGGGCGCTATATCAAATGCTGTTTATCATTATTATTATTATCATTTGCCTGCGGTAGTTTTAGGGATTTCTGTAATGACTGCCATTCCAATGAGTACTTGTTATTCTATATTATAGCTATCTGGTCAGTTACAATCTGCGGAGAAAGCTAAAGCTGAACTAGAAAATGAAAATGAGACGCTCCGACACAACTTTGACCAACACAGAAATAAGGTAACTATATCGGTGGAACACAAAATAATTCCTGACTATTTCTCCGTTCATAAACACAATCACTGGTATTATTGCACAATTACAAATGTTTACAGTGTAGATCTAGTACAGTCTGAATTTCAAACCTCTGAAAAATAAAAATGGTATCGAAAGTGATATATAACTACATGTATTAGGTGTTGTGTGTACTACAACCTTAGTTATTAACATATTTTACTGGCAATCATCCTTAAGGATATTGTGGTACTCTATCTGCTTATGATAAATTTAAAAAATAGTTAAATGAGACAAATGTTATTATTTTTCTTTGTATAAATAATCTCAAGCACAATACCAGCTCACAATGATGCGCCTCATGGTTGCTTGTACTCTTATAACATAAGAGGCCGCTGGTCGGCCTTTTTTCCCTATCGGATATGATTTTGCCGACTGCGACAAAAGTATCTCGACCTGTAAACCTCTAACACTGTTGGAGTAGGTTGGTTGTAGCAGACTTGGCTGGAAGGGGTGGGGGTATTTGTATGGGATTCCTTTTAGCTCAATATTTATTGCATAAGTCTAGTAGTCTATTGTCCTAGCAGAGGCACTTGGAAAGGTGACCATGTTGATATTGCTTTGTTGAAGGATGGTAGAAGTCGACACATGACAAATCTCGACCATGTAGCTCAGTTGTTTCCTTCATCACAACCATACTCATATTGATTCCTGCCCTATTGCATTTTTGACTCCTACATAATAATGACAAAAATGTGTTTGATCATGTCTGTAAGTCTCCAGGAATTTATACATAACTACAATACTTTATTTGTTCAGACTACACAGCTCCTGGAGGAGAAGGATGACCATGTCTCCCAACTACAAGACCGAGTGAAAATGTTGGAGCAGCGGGTCGCGGATCACAGTCTGGATGGAGATGATAGGGTCCAGGCTGTCATTGTAGAGGTGTTTTTCTTTGTTTGAATTTTACAGTCGTACAAAAGTTGCAGAATGTGTGCGTTTAGGAACTTGTTCTTCATTTTTAAGTGAAGATTCACCAATGCACAAGAGCAATGTTGTGGATTATGATCTTACATAAGGTCTAGGTCTGGGTTAGTCTAAATATTCCTTTCACAGTTGTGAACAAGTTATTATTCTGTTGTTACTTCCCTTCCAGAGTAAAAGCCCAAGATAAATGCTTAAAGTTGAAAAGTTGATCAGTTTTCGCCATGTTACTGGACAGTTATATGCAAGGTCAGTACGGTAGATGCATACGTATACTGTTACTGAAACTTGACATGTATATTTAGAGAGACAACTTGGAGAAGAAGTTAGAGGAGACACACCAACAGCTGTCGGAAATCAAAATGACATGGAGCAACAAGATATCACACCTGGAGGAGCAGGTAACAAATACAATAACCTTCTCATCTATGTAATTACCACAACCTCTCATCTATATAATTACCACAACCTCTCATCTTTATAACTACCACAACCTCTCATCTATATAATTACCACAACATCTCATCTATATAATTACCACAACCTCTCATCTATATAACTACCACAACCTCTCATCTATGTAATTAACACAACCTCTCATCTTTGTAATTATCACAACCTCTCATCTTTATAACTACCACAACCTCTTATCTATATAATTACCACAACATCTCATCTATATAATTACCCCACCCCCTCATCTATATAACTACCACAACCTCTCATCTATGTAATTACCACAACGTCTCATCTATATAACTACCACAACCTCTCATCTAAATAACTACCACAACCTCTCATCTATATAATTACCACACGCTCTCATCTATATAATTACCACAACCTCTCATCTATGTAATTAACACAACCTCCCATCTATGTAATTAACACAACCTCTCATCTTTGTAATTATCACAACCTCTCATCTTTATAACTACCACAACCTCTCATCTATATAATTACCACAACCTCTCATCTATGTAATTAACACAACCTCTCATCTATGTAATTACCACAACCTCTCATCTATGTAATTACCACAACCTCTCATCTATATAATTACAACAACCCATCTATATAATAACCACAACCTCTTATCTATATAATTACCACAACCTCTCATCTATATGATTACCACAACCTCTCATCTATATAATAACCACAACCTCTCATCTATATAATTACCACAACTTCGTATCTATATAACTACCAGAACCTCTCATCTATATAATTACCACAACCTATTATCTATATAATTACCACAACCCCTTATCTATAGCTGTGGTCTGTCAGTAAGGCAGCATCCCCTTATCACCTCATTTTGATCTGTATCAGTATTATATTTTTGGGTAATATGTGTATGATATTTATCTTTATCATTTGACATAAGAGTCTTATGATTTCAATTGGGTCTAGTTGATTTCTAGAAAAGTTAAATGAATTCAGAAATTCGTACTTTCCATGAGCTGTGTTTGGAAATTTCAGATTGCACATCTGAATAAAAAGATAATGGAGGATAACGAGGAAATGGCAAGAAGCCAAAAATCCGCGGAAACATCAAGACAGCAATTGAAGGCACAGGTAATGTCCTAAACTACATTAAACTTGTCACCTACAGCCTAAACACTGCCATCTCACATGTGATATCACAGTAAGTGTGGCCTGTTAGACATACAAACTGTCACCTACAGCCTAAAACACTGCCATCTCACATGAGATACCCAGTAAGTGTGGCCTGTTAGACATTAAAACTGTCACCTACAGCCTAAAACATTGCCATCTCACATGTGATACCCAGTAAGTGTGACCTGTTAGACATTAAGACTGTCACCTACAGTCTAAAACACTGCCATCTTACATGCGATATCACAGTAAGTGTGGCCTGTTAGACATTAAAACTGTCACCTACAGCATAAAACACTGCCATCTTACATGTGGTATCACAGTAAGTGTGGCCTGTTAGACAACAAAACTGTCACCTACAGCCTAAAACATTGCCATCTCACATGGGATACCCAGTAAGTGTGGCCTGTTAGACATTAAAACTGTCACCTAAAGCCTAAAACACTGCCATCTCACATGTGATACCCAGGAAGTGTGGCCTGTTAGACATTAAAACTGTCACCTATAGCCTAAAACACTGCCATCTTACATGTGATATCACAGTAAGTGTGGCCTGTTAGACATGAAGACTGTCACCTACAGCCTAAAACACTGCCATCTTACATGTGATACCACAGTAAGTGTGGCCTGGTAGACATTAAAAAATCCCCCTGTATGTTATTACCCTGAACAATGGCCAGGTGGTGTCATATCTATGTATAGGATACCTGTAAGGGTGTTTGTACCCCTAGGATTGACTGTATATATCGTGGGATACAACAAGTGTAGAGATGGGAGGTCTATATAGATAACATTGTATGAAGGACCAACTGTCCATGCTATTTTCACAGTGGTATACAAAGATATTTGATAAAGATATATTTCGTTCTATTTGATGTTTTAACAAAATTTGGGTGTAATTTGGTGAGGCTTCATTGATACATCTGGCAAATGAGTCTTTAAAAAGATTGTTTTACCGTCAGATTTCAGATTTACAGTCAAAATCAGAGGATGCGGAAAACAGGGCGGAAGAAAACTGGCAACTGGCAAACAAGAAAGACTCTCTTTTTGAAGCAGAGGTAATTAGTTAAAAACAAAATATACTGAAAATTATACATACATGTATAAACTAGTCAGCAAACTGGAAATCTGAAAGTCTTCAAAATTGTTGCAAAAATTGTGCTGGAAACGTTTTCAGTTTCTTATTTGTAATTTTTAAGAGCCGAGCGACTTATTGATTCTGTCCAGAGAACGAAATGACGGACCCACTTCCGTTCGGGGTGCGTGTGCATAATTCAGTCTTGCATGCTTCCGCTATATAGTTTCATTATCGTAAATAGAAAGTAGAATCTCTGACACTCACCTGTGGGTTACATAAAGTCTTCTGATACTCTTCTCCAAATAATAATTCATACTTTAAATAATCGCTGAAAACAAAATGTTTATCTCCGGTGCATTCTACGAGTGTTGTGGTGGTGAAATTCGTGCACTGGGTTTGAGCGTTTTAGCAACTCGGATTGAGTTTCTGAGGAGTGTTTGTTTTCGTGATTCTGATTCGAACACAGCATGCTATTTCTGGTGTATTTATTTATGAAAATGTAACAATTTAATAACATGACACAACTGCCGCTGCTGTTTGACAAGAATTTGCACTGTGTCAAAATATTATCCAATCCGGTGTAAGAGAAATAACTCTTACGTTGGCAAAGTCGCATTGAGAAGCATCATTCAAATATATTCCAAGAACATTTGTGAGATTTTGTGATGAATTGTATATTCAATGACAGTAAATAAAGTCACTACATATATTAATAATTATTATTAATTATATTAATAATATAAATAATTATTATTAATTATATAAATATTAATAATTATTATTAATATAAATAACAAATAAATAAAAATAAAAGGAGTACAATGTCTCTTTTCTCCATGCATGTTTTCCCACTACTGTTAATTATCCTTCATTTCACAAGCACAAAATGCACCTATTCTTTATTACCCATTCACCGATTGCCATTCTGCACTTAAATGCTCATGTCACATCATTGGAGGATGCTAATTAATGAAAATTACAACAATGCGTCACAAAAGAGGGGGCAAAAAGAGGAGATGGAGAAATGTTTTAAGGCATCATTTACGAGGTGATTGATTTTGGAAATTCTAAAGGCAACATCATCACATGACCTGATTTTCAATTAGCAGAATACAGAACACATATCTGAGGTATTATGGTAGATATTGATGTTCAAAGTGCTACTGAAGCGATTAAATTAGGTATTATAGTAGATATTGATGTTCAAAGTGCTACTGACGCGATTAAATTAGGTATTATAGTAGATATTGATGTTCAAAGTGCTACTGAAGTGATTAAATTGAAAGTGGTGAGTGGCTTTAATGTCACACTGACATATTTCTAGTTTTAACTTAAATTTTTATTGTATTAACTTTATTCTTAAAGAATTCAAACACTTTGCTTTTATTCTAACATTTGGTATCATGAAATGATAAAAGCTGTCACTACTGATGACTGGTGGCACTATTATTATACCCCCCGCAACAAAGTTAGGGGGGGTATACTGGAATCAGCTTGTCCATTTGTCCGTCTGTCCGTCTGTCTGTCCATCTGTGTCTGTAGATTTTTTTTGTCCGGACAACTCCTTCTAAAGTAATGAACCAATTTCAACGAAACTATCCAGATATGATCACTACCACCTGAAGTTGTGCATCAGGGTATCATTTTTTCATTCTGACCCTTTTTACGGAGTAATGGCCCTTTCTTGCAAAATGCTTGCCCGTACAACTTCTCTAAAACTTCTGGGACAATTTCAATGAAAGTTTTCACATATGATAACAACCACCTGATGTTGTGCATCCAGGTATTATTTTTCAATCTGTCCCTTTTTTTGGAGCAATGGCCCATAGCTGTCTAGACAACTCCTCTAAGACTATGTGGCCAATTTTAACGAAAGTTTTCAGATATGATAACTACCCCCTGTTCAGATATGATAACTACCCCCTGATATTGTGCATCCAGGAATTTGTTTTCCAACATTTTTCATGGAGTTATGACTTTTGTTGAAAAATTCTTGTCCTGACAACTTCTCCTAATCTACAGGGCCAATTTTAAAGAGAGTTTGCAGATATGGTAACTGCCCCCTGACGTTGTGCATCCAAGTAGTACTTTTTCATTCAAACCCTTTTATAAGGAGTTATGGCCCTTTGTTGAATAAACCATTGTCTGCCTCATAAACTACTGGGCCGATTTCAATGAAAGTTTACAGAGACAGTAATTACCCCCTGATGTCGTGCGTCAGACTAGTATTTTTCATTTCAACCCATTTTTAAGGAGTTATGGCCCTTTGTTAAAAATCTTTGTCCTGACATCTTTTCTTTAACTAATAGAACAATTTCAGCAAAACTGGTTCATCTGGTGTAACAAGATTTGGTATGTAAGTATTTTTTGGCATGGGGAGAGAGTACAGGAAGTATGTCAGTGACCTGTATACTTTAATAAATAAGTGTACAGCTCAGTCAATAAAGAAATCATTACTGGTGGCAGACTATGGATTACTTTGCAACGCTTTGTCTCAGTAAGCATTTAGCTTACAGTTCTGGTATATATAGGAGCGGGGGTGTTAGTTAGCCATTACCTTACAGTTCTGGTATATATAGGAGTGGGGGTGTTAGTTAGCCTTTTGCTTACAGGTTTGGTATATATAGGAGCGGGGGTGTTAGTTAGCCTTCTGCTTACAGTTCTGGTATATATAGGAGCGGGGGTGTTAGTTAGCCTTCTGTTTACAGGTCTGGTATATATAGGAGCGGGGGTGTTAGTTAGCCTTCTGCTTACAGTTCTGGTATATATAGGAGCGGGGGTGTTAGTTAGCCTTTTGCTTACAGTTCTAGTTGAGGTAGGACTGAAAACTACACAAGTATTAAAATAGGAAATGTTAAGTTAATCATTTTGAGTCTTGTGATACTGAAACATATGCAGCAGCACATACTACAATAGTGTTTATTTTTGTTATGTTTAGAAACATGAGTTACAAGCTGAAATAAACAAGTCACACATGGAGAAGGTGGACATGGAGACACAACTAATAGCCAAGGTTACCTCCCTGGAATCCCAACTCCAGTCAATGGAGGAAGCAAAAGTGCATGAGAAGAGTGTTGTTAAGCAGAATATTGTAAGTCAAGAAGGAACAAGCAATATTTTCCTGCTAAACAATGGAGTTTGGCTAGGGTTCTGAATCCAAAGTATACCTGTTGGTTAATATCTGTCCAGCTAGATTATATCTTTTTTTTTTTGTAATAGTCTTGCTGTATAAACAGGACATTTTCGCTGCAGTTTAAGATTTCGCCTTTTTTGCTCTCCTTTAAAAGCAACGATGGCAAATTGACAGGGCAAAAATGTCCCGGTACACAGTACTCAGATTGTTGATAGAGATTAGAATTATTTAATTCTTTACCAGCAGTACATTGCAGTTAGTCTTTAATTCAAAACTGTGTTTTAGGCACAATTAGAAAGTCAGCAGCAAAGTTACCTTGACAATGCTGTAAAATCGGAGAGGCGCATGGAAGAGGTTGAACAAGAGAAAAACCGGGTGATGGTGAGTACTCAAACGTCACAAGTACAGGCTAATGGTAGATTCTAAGAGGACACAAGTACAGGCTAATAGTGGGTCCCAATAGGATACAAGTATAGGCTAATGGTGGGTCCCAGTAGGACACAAGTACAGGTCAGCGGTGGGTTCCAATAGGACACAAGTACAGGCTGATGGTGGGTCCCAGTAAGACACAAGTACAGGTCAGCGGTGGGTTCCAATAGGACACAAGTACAGGCTGATGGTGGGTCCCAGTAAGACACAAGTACAGGTCAGCGGTGGGTCCCAGTAGGACACAAGTACAGGCTGATGGTGGGTCCCAATAGGACACAAGTACAGGCTGATGGTGGGTCCCAGTAAGACACAAGTACAGGTCAGCGGTGGGTCCCAGTAGGACACAAGTACAGGCTGATGGTGGGTCCCAATAGGACACAAGTACAGGCTGATGGTGGGTCCCAGTAAGACACAAGTACAGGTCAGCGGTGGGTCCCAGTAGGACACAAGTACAGGCTAATAGTGGGTCCCAATAGGATACAAGTACAGGCTGATGGTGGGTCCCAGTAAGACACAAGTACAGGTCAGCGGTGGGTTCCAATAGGACACAAGTACAGGCTGATGGTGGTCCACATATACATTGCAACAGGATTCTGATATTTTCTTTATGAAAAGTACAATTTCACACATATTGCATAGTGTCACATCTATATGTTGCATGTACCAGATCTAGGAAAACTTTAAACTTCTGGATATAAGATTCATCTATACCCTATAGCTCCCTCTGTATAGTAATGGATACTAAAACCATGCACATCGCATCAGTATATTTAATAAGAAAATAGTTTTATCACAGTTATTAATTAAAACATCAATATTTGCATATAATTACAATATGTATGGTAGCACTTAGAACATTACAGTTACTGCAGACCTGGGATTCTTTTCTTGTGATTTTAGAATGAGAACTTGGAGAAGTCAGAAGAACTTACAACAGTACAGAAGGAGTTAGCAGATCTTCAGACATCCAAGACAGAACTTGAGTCTAAGGTGAGTATGTTGTATGTACTAGATATATTTGTGATAAAAAGTTTGCTTACATACTTTATGTATCAACCAAATTTTTAACTTCACCAGGAAGACAATAGTATACCAGCCAGGGCAATATTAAAAGCAGTTATTTCCAAACCTGTATTACTGAGAGCCTGGTTGTCATGGTTTACACAAACCTGTATTACTGTGAGCCTGGTTGTCATGGTTTACACAAACCTGTATTACTGTGAGCCTGGTTGTCATGGTTTACACGAACCTGTATTACTGTGAGCCTGGTTGTCATTGTTTACACAAAGCTTGTTAACACTGTTATATAAAACCATTACACCACTAGAGCACATTAAAAGAACTGTGTAATATTCCATTTCCTAGGTAACAAAACTAGAGGAACAGGTAAAATCTACGAAGCTAAATACAGATGGTGCGAAGGAACAAAAGGCAAAGTTAAAAGCTTCTGAAAAAGGTGTGTATAGAATAAGACTGTAACAGTAAGACAATAGTGTGCCATTCTATGGTCCCCAAAGGACCTGTTACCATTATACTGATGAGGATTAGTTGACAAGTTGAAAGTAAGGCGTACAGCAACAAATTGGAATTTCAAACTTAACCAAAAAATGGTAAATAGTTCACATAGAGTGGTCAGGTGGTGCAGTGGATAGCGCACTTGCCTTTCACCAAGGGGGCCGGGGTTCGATTCCCTGATCGGACGTGAAAAGATTTAGGTTCATTTGCCCGAACACGTGGGTTTTTCACTGAAAGCAGAAAATTGAAATTTTGCCAATGTATAATTTAAGAAATTTATCATTATTCGTTAGCAGAACTGATTCCTCTGACATACCAGATGATAACTTACAGTGATATGTAATATGTAAAAGTTGTGCGTTAATTATGTACATTAATTTTTGTTTTTGTGGAGAAAAGCACATCTGATAAATAATCTTATCAGGAATTTAAAGAAGCATCAAAGCATAAGCTCTTCAAATGTTGCTGCATATCTGTGTTTTTAGAAAGAGATGAGCTGATGGTGAGAAATGCCGAGCTGTCTCAGCAACTTAAGTGTATGGAGGTGAGGAAATCCTCGGAGGAAAAGCAACTCAGTGGACAGGTGAAGGAGAATGAGTCTGTAATTGAAGCCCTTCAGCAGGAGGTGAATGACAAGGTTTCCCAGGCTGAACAAATGAGTGAAAAGCTACAACAATATGAAGGTCAGATGAAGGAATTGGAAGTTCAAAGGTCAAAGTCAATGGAGGAGAGCAGTACAATGTCCACACTGCAGCAGACAGTCACAAGCCTAGAGGAGCAGCTGGCTGACAAAAACAAGGTGATGGGATTGGAAGCTGTTAGGCCATCCCTGTTACACTAACTGTGTTACACTTAAAAGATTCCTGTCCCACTGAGGCCATCCCTGTTACACTAACTGTGTTACACTTAAAAGATTCCTGTCCCACTGAGGCTATCCCTGTTACACTAACTGTGTTACACTTAAAAGATTCCTGTCCCACTGAGGCTATCCCTGTTACACTAACTGTGTTACACTTAAAAGATTCCTGTCCCACTGAGGCTATCCCTGTTACACTAACTGTGTTACACTTAAAAGATTCCTGTCCCACTGAGGCTATCCCTGTTACACTAACTGTGTTACACTTAAAAGATTCCTGTCCCACTGAGGCTATCCCTGTTACACTAACTGTGTTACTTTTTAAAGATTCCTGTCCCACTGAAGCTATCCCATTTACACTAACTGTGTTACTCTATAAAGATTCCTGTCCCACTGAGGCTATCCCTGTTACACTAACTGTGTTACTCTATAAAGATTCCTGTCCCACTGAAGCTATCCCTGTTACACTAACTGTGTTACACTTTAAAGATTCCTGTCCCAGTGAGGCTATCCCTGTTACACTAACTGTGTTACACTTTAAAGATTCCTGTCCCACTGAAGCTATCCCATTTACACTACCTGTGTTACACTTTAAAGATTCCTGTCCCACTGAGGCTATCTCTGTTACACTAACTGTGTTACTTTTTAGAGATTCCTGTCCCACTGAAGCTATCTCTGTTACACTAATTGTGTTACTCTATAAAGATTCCTGTCCCACTGAAGCTATCTCTGTTACACTAACTGTGTTACTTTTTAGAGATTCCTGTCCCACTGAAGCTATCTCTGTTACACTAATTGTGTTACTCTATAAAGATTCCTGTCCCACTGAAGCTATCCCATTTACACTACCTGTGTTACACTTTAAAGATTCCTGTCCCACTGAGTCTATCCCTGTTACACTAACTGTGTTACTCTCTAAAGATTCCTGTCCCACTGAGGCTATCTCTGTTAACCTAATTGTGTTACTCTATAAAGATTCCTGTCTCACTGAAGCTATCCCATTTACACTAACTGTGTTACACTTTAAAGATTCCTGTCCCACTGAGACTATCCCTGTTACACTAACTGTGTTACTCTCTAAAGATTCCTGTCCCACTGAGGCTATCTCTGTTACACTAATTGTGTTACTCTATAAAGATTCCTGTCTCACTGAAGCTATCCCATTTACACTAACTGTGTTACTCTATAAAGATTCCTGTCCCACTGAGGCTATCTCTGTTACACTAATTGTGTTACTCTATAAAGATTCCTGTCCCCCTGAAGCTATCCCTGTTACACTAACTGTGTTACTCTCTAAAGATTCCTGTCCCACTGAGGCTATCTCTGTTACACTGATTGTGTTAGTCTATATAGATTCCTGTCCCACTGAAGCTATCCCATTTACACTACCTGTGTTACACTTTAAAGATTCCTGTCCCACTGAGGCTATCCCTGTTACACTAACTGTCTTACTCTTTAAAGATCCCTGTCAAGCTGCAGGCAAAACGCTAGATAAATAACAGTAGATTTTCATTTCACAAAATCCTCTTAATTTTGTTTTGATACATATGTAGCAGTACAAAGCCAGGGAGCTACCACTAAATACTAGTCAGGTAGCTCAGTTGGTTTAAGCAATCATATTGTGAATGAGGTTGGTTCAAATCCTGAAATGTCTCCATTTCAATTTTACTCTACTGCTGTTGATTTATTTTCTGTTTATTTCATTGTTATCATCTTATCATAAAAATTTTGCAAGGCACAGATCTTTATTCATAATTGATTCATTACAGCTTGTGCCCTGCAGGTGAAAAAACCTCATCGAATTCATAAATATAGTTTTTGGCAATGGTACGGTATTGTTAAAGAAGACATAAGAATTTGAAGGGAAGACAAGACTTAACAGCTTTGGGTTGAGGTGATGAGTAGGCTATGGTTCATTTTCCTGTTGGCTATTTAGGTAATATACACTGCTGCCCAAGTTTATAAATAACACTGATGTATTTATGTTTCAGGCCTTGAAGAAACAGGAGCAAAGATTAGCAGATTTAAAAAAGACTTTACAAAGAGAACTTAAAGTGCAGGCTTTACCCAACGACGAGCCTATCGTTGTGAGAAGTGCTTCAGATCAAAATCTTCTCTCTCAAAGGTTAACTCCACCCAGTCGGACATCACCCCCCAAGGACTATGTGAATAATGTAGGAGGTCTGAGCCCCAACAGGCTTCTGGAAGTGCGCAACAGTCCAAATGACAGGAAGAGTGTCAGTGTGCATATGCCAGGGGGAGATAACTCGCTGGACAATGAAGTGAATTTTCAATACCTTAAACATGTGGTGCTTAAGTTCATGTTAAGTAGAGAGGCAGAGGTAAGCTTCTTTGTTTTAATTCTGAGATAAATCTGTCGGAAGCTTTTTAATTTGCTTGAATTTCAAAATTCTGTGGTATGTAGAGAAACAATAGTAAACAGTTTAGTTTGATTTAGGGGGGAATCCGATCAGATAAGCTGCAGCTTTTAGTTTGCTTACAGTTCTAGAAGTTATTACGAAAGAACATAAATTGCATAAGTGTGAGCTATAATAGTCCGTATAATCAGGGGATTGTCCATTATATAATTACCTGGTAAGTACATTTCTTTCAAAGCGTGATGAAGTATACTATGACATTGTAGTATTGTAAGTGACATTGTCTCCGTAAGTTTTTGCGTAACAAAATTTTCATATTGTGTTCCAGGCTCTCCACTTGATACGGGCTGTTTCTGTGTTGTTGCGATTTACTCACGAGGAACAAAAACTAATTCGTGAAACTCTGGAGTGGAAGAAATCGTGGTTCGGTAGCCGCCCACAAACCGGTGCTGGTCAAATGACTAGATTTATTCCACCGTCATATTGACAGACCTGTAAGCACTGTCTACGAGGCTGTGATTAATTGTTTCATTAAGTAACTTGTGAGACATGGTGTATGTAAATGGTAAGTATGTGTTAAAGGAAAAGCCTACATGGAATTGTTTTTACACTAGGGATAATATTGACCTATATTTATAATATCAGTTTGAGTGACAGACCATATTGATATTTTTCGAAGGTTGAGTTAGTCATGCAATGACTACAGCACACTTATATAGACTGATTTTATGGCAATGGTAATTAAGCATTAGTCAACCAGGAGTGTATACATTAATAACATGCAATTGTTTCATGGCTTTTTGGGGAACAGTCAAAACTATCATCATCCCGAGGTAGGGGAAAGCTCTGGGAAACTGTTTGCCCGAGGCCCCTAGGCCAGGGGTAAACAGTACCATAGGGCTTACCCCTACCGAGGGATGGTAGTTTTGACTGTTCCCAAAATAGCATTGAAACAATTGTTTTATTACCAAATACATATTAGTATCAATGCTGCATGTAATGGTGTTAATTTGTTTAGAAATAACTAAAGAGGTCAAATAAATGCTTGAACGGGGCTCTCGAGGGGGGATTTCTGCGCATCGAATTCGCGCCGGGTAACAGTTTGCTCTGACCGGGAAAACAATTTTTATTATTACCCAATAGTCTATATAAATTATAATTAGTCATTTTTGACTGTTTCTGGCCTTTAAAGAAAACCTAGCGGCCTCGGGCAAACAGTTCCCCAGGGCTTCCCCCTACCTCGGGATGATAGTTTTGACTGTTCCCCAAATAGCCATGAAACAATTGTATACTGTTTCACCCCTACAGCCAAAATTGGACAAAAAGCCAGAAACAGTCAAAAACGACTAAGTATAGTTTATATAGACTATTGGGTAATAAAGTTATTTACTGGGTATATAGCAAATAGACTAGGGTAACAGTCATAACACAAACTACTGTGTTAGTTAAACACTACAGTACCAGTTAAAAGTTCACTGTATGACAAGGGAACTATTACAGCAGTGAAAAATTCACTGTGTTAGAAGTTCACTATTACAGAAGTTAAAAGTTCACTGTGCAAGAATTTAACTGTTACAGCAAGTAAAAGTTCACTATGTGAGAAATTCACTGTTACAGCAGTTAAGTTCACTGGTACGGCAGGTAAATTTAACTGTGTTAACTATAAACTGTATAACAAGTTAGAGTTAACTGTGTTAGGAAGTCCAGTAAAGTTGAATGTTCTAGTCGTTCAATGTAACTCAGGTATTGGTGGCAGTATTTATTTCGACTCTGCCCCAATTTAATACAGTTGATCACATGGTATCACAAGCTTTGTTACCTCACCCTATGGTAGTACAGGGTTGTCAGATGATTGACAGCAATTATGTTGGAGTCCACAAAACCTTGTATAAGTGATCAAGAGTTAAAAGACTTGACAGAAGAGAAAATGTTGATATGTGAATCTCTTCAATTGTGCAGGATTGTAGTTGTTGAGTCAAAGAATTTGTTTTTATGTAATCGCTGACGTACATGTCTGTGTCACGTACTTGGATGTGTTTATTTATTTGTGGTTGTGTTCCACGCCAGTCTTAGTAAGGGTGCCAAGTGCCAGGTACTGATAGAGAGGAAGGGATCTTTTTCAGTGAATTGAAAGGATTGTTTCTGGGGGGTTTTCTGCATAGATTACTCTCTCCGTATACAGAAACGCCAGGTTTATTACATAGTGACTAGCTTTGTAATACCTGGCACGGTCAACTCTAGTTCTTACCTATAGAAACATAGGATATCTTATCATTTTGTATATCCCCCCCCCCTATATATTGGATTCCAAAAGGTACATGCCTGGCATTTGGATGTCCTTGTTAGGACTGATGCAGTTTTTATTTGTCAGTGGGAAATGTGTTGAGTAAATTTATTATGGAGATCAAACATTTTTTTTAAGCACTTACCATGTCATTTTCATATATAATCCTACATTATTGAGATGAACCTGTCCTGGCTTGCTAAGTGAGTTGGGAGAAGTTTAACCTTCCACGTCATGTGTTACAATGTTTCCAATGTGTTTGCTGTGTAAAAACACAAACGTAACATTTGCAGTGTGTTCGTGGTTTTTGATGGATCTGCATATTTTTAAGAGAAAACAAAGTACCAATCGCAGGCTCTGTTTCTTAGACGTGTGCAGTCCTGGACTCTTTTCATTCTACTTTTCCTGTGGGAATCACCAATTTTTGAGGACTGACTATATCTTTTAGTAATGGAACTCATCAAAAACTTGTAAAAATATGTTCAGGTCTCACCTGAAAAATGTATACAAAAATTACTGCAGGCATCACTTTCATGGCTTCATTTTAATAGCTAAATGGCCAAAGGGTAAAAGGTAGCTGTGATATACCTGTCACGACTCCGCCCCCTCCACGCTTCATGTTTAACCTAACGTCAGTCTGTTATTTTTTGCATCTGTATCACCTATCATATTTGTTTGATTCAGGGAAAGTTTCTACTGGGATGAAGATGGGACCATCTTAGGCATTAAATCTAGAGGATAACCTCTCATTATGTTTCATTAAATACATTCATTTTACCAGTCAAATCATCAAACATATCTCCAAGTGGGATGGATTGTTGAAAATTCAAGGCCTACTTTTCATCAAAAGCTTTTTGTGCAAAAAGGCATGACCATCATGTGATATATCAAGGTATTTTATTATGTAGAATGTTGCTTGTACATTTGTATATATGATATTTAACAACAACATGTAAAAAAGTGTCCATTTTAAAAGTATAATTGGAATGGTTGCCCTCCCTTATAAACACAATTTACTGTATACCAGGAACATTCTGCCCAGTCAAACTTTCGCCCTTCAGTGATGAAATCAAGTTTCGCTCAGTGTACATTTTGCCCTTCACATTGAATAACTAGGTATGTTAGATACTGTTTACTTACATTCACTGTAGTGATTCCTCATTAGAGAGGGTGAAAAAAGGTGAAAACTAAACAGCAGCCAAACATTTCACAGTATTCACTCATTCTATCTTCTCTTGCTTACATCAGAAAAATCTGTGATTTCGAGGCTTTTCACTAAAAATCTAAACAAGAATGGATGGCCTGAAATTTACAATTTAAATAAACCCCCTGATGATCTTTCCATCCATGTAGAGAAATTGACTGTAGTACGTCTAAGTCTGGAGAAGATTATTTTTGAAATATTGGTTAATTTTCCCTTTGGGGCCCCGCCTTGGCCCCAGGGGTTGGGGTAGAAATCCCAATTTTACATTTGTGTAGTCTCATCTACCAAGGATGATTCTGACCAAGTTTGAAATAATTCCATCCACTTGTTCTTGAGAAGATGTTGAAAATGTTAAAAAGTTTACGCACGCCTGACGATGATGGATGGAAAGCGATCAGAAAAGGTCTCTTGAGCAAAGCTCAGGTGACCTAAAAAAATCTAAATTACCTGAAAAGTGAGAAAGTTGTTGCCAAATAAAGTCTTTTCATTCCATGTGACAGAGAGCATATCCAGTTATCTGTGACAGTAGCAGGCCATCAGTAGCCTCCGTCTGGATGCAGGATGTCGGTCTCTTCCTTCCCGTAATACCGCTACTTATTTAATTTATACAACTTTGTATGTGGGAACAATTGGAGTACAACGTGTTGTCCTAGGATGCAACAAACCTGGCAGCCTCTGTGAGAGTCAACACTCATTGTGATTTTAGTCACTGTAGAATTATGGACATTGCTGCCAAACCTTTCAGGAAATGTAAGAAACCAAAAGTCTTCACAAACTCCTGACCCGACCTTTAAACGAAAACCCTTTCCAGGCTACAGGTAAAGACAACAAATACAAGTCCATGCAGTTACTTTTTTCAATTTTATTAGATTTAACTAATTTTAACCAGGATGAACTATTTATTTCAGTTTTTCGCCACATTAGTCTTATCAAAACCAAGATTCTCATTTATAATGTACAATTCTCAGCAAACAAAACATGTATCTGAAGTATTAAAGTAATTGTTACTCAGTCCTAATTAGACCCTAGTATATATATCTTGACTGAAATATTACTCATGTGTGATTAAAGGTGAAGATTTCTAGTATCGCAAAACGGTTTTCATATTCACATCTGTGAAGTGAATGAATTTCAAACAGAATGAGTTCATATTAGGATCTCCCAAAAATGGTTTTCATTTATGTGTAAGTGATATTCTGAATTTTTGGAAACTTGATTTTTATAAGTCATGATTGTCAAAAGATGTTTACATAACTGCACTGTTCCTTGGCAGGGTACAAGATTTTAATCACCAAGTCGTTTTACTGAGTGGCAGTGTTGGTACTGTGTATGGAGGAAGTGATAATTGGGAGTCCATGACCATTACTGGAAGTCACAGTTGGGCTGCAATATCATGTCAAATATTATAGAAGGTACCTAGGTAGTCAAGCATTTTCAATGCTCATTTTTTAAATGGAGTAAATTGACCAATACAATTGTGATAACTTTTAAACAAATTTTTAAATTTAATTTGTTGCATTTTAGAAAATTTCGTAATCAGGAACATATTTTAGCTTATGTTTTGAAAAGGTGAACCAAGACCTTGACCTAGATATCAAAACAACTCTGGCTGATGTGCAGGTTTTTTCTGTACATGGTCATGAATGAAATCTTAAGGAATGTTGGGTAATCACATTGAAAAGAACAAGCTTCCCTGTTTGGACATATGTGTGCTAGGAGTATACAATTATGTAAATGCAATATTTCCATTGTGACTTAAGCATGGAATTGTGATAAATCTGTTGATAAATATGAATAAAATTTTACAAACAGATACTGTTGTGAAGCTTTTTATTTAACGTCACCACTTTCAGCAGGATTGTTATGGCTAATTGTCCATCGGCCTGTTTATCCGTCTACAACTTTATTTTCAATCCATAACTTTGATCACTATCAGAACTTCGTCTTAACCAGTCTTTATGAAATTGTAATTTTCCATAAGAGAAAAACATCTGTCCTTTTTCTGATAACTCCACCAAATGTAAAGATCATCCAAGGTGGATTCCTTCAATGAGATTCGATTGTGATTTCCACTCATCAATCGCTGACGGATTAGATCCTCGTCTCCACCAAAATTAAAGTGATTCAGATTTGATAAGCTAAGATTCACAATTTCAGAACCTCCATTCTAACCTCATCTTCAGGAAATTATTCCCAAAATTTGAGTATAATCTTCTTTTGGTTAATTGGTCCATTTCTAGGTCATTCAAGGTCATTCAAGGTCAATGACATGCCTATATTAACGAGATTACAGAAGGATCTAAGCACTGCACATTATGTACCCACTTCATTGGTTCTAAGTTAAGATTGATCTTTTATCTGTTGAATTGGGTCTTGTAAACAGTTAATGCACGTTGTGGTATTTTATGATCAAAACTATAATCTGCTGAGTGTGACATTGTTCTTTCAAAGAGAGATTGTTGTTTTTAGCATAATTACTAACTAGCATAGTACTTAATGTGTAGGCTGCCTTGTGAACATTTTGTTTTTTCTGATAAGCCTCAAAACAAAACATGCAGAACTTAGGACAATACAAATCAACAAATAAAACTTAGTTAAGTCCTGTCCAGTACTTGAGAAATAGTGATAACAACTGTCAAAATTCAAGATGGCTGTCTGGTGGCCATCTTGTTTTCCTATCAGTACTTTCTAAACAAAAGTTGATGGCCAGTCAAACAGATACTCAAAATTCAAGATGGCCAACTGTCTGCCATCTTGATTTTCAAATTAGTCACAATATTCAATATGCATAACTTACAAACCATGGGAGACCTACATGTGAGATTTGAAAGTGATCCATCCTACTTTCTGAGAAATGGTACTAACAATCTTTAACTCTCAAAATTCAAGGTGCATTTACTGTTAACATGACTCGATCAAACAGATTAGAGAAAAGGAGAGAAAAGATCGAACTGACGAAGAACTAATGAAGATGGTACAGTGGTGGGCGCCAAGATCCCTCTGAGATCTGTCCGTTTCCCTAGAGAAAATCACAACAAAAAATCAGTTCAGGAAGAAAGTGATCAGGTTAGTTCTAGTCGATGCTGATTATGTATATGGTTTGAGTGTTTTAGTTCAATATTAATTGGAACATGTATAGTAATTAGTGATTTAAACAAGTATTTCCTAGTGTTGGTAGTGTGGAGGTATCGGTCATCATTAATGCAAGTGATATTCCTGGATGAATCTTGCATCGCCTTCAATGGTCTTGTGTTATACTAGGCAGGAGAAGCGGCAAAATGACACTGAACTTTCTGCATTCATGGTATAATGAAATGCATTTCTTCTGGTAATATTTAAGCAGCAGAAAGAAAGGTTCCTAATTATATTTAAATGAGTGATTTAACTGTTTTATTGCCGTGAAGATATATTTTGATTAATTGAGACAAAATGACAAAGATGTAGGACTTGTTAATAAATTTAATATCTTGTAAAATATTTATCCATAAACTTGTACACATTACACATAATATAACTAAGACTTGTATACAAATTCCTCTTACAATGTGGTTACGTATGCAGAACTCGGGATACAGACTGCAGCACATTAACATTGTACCTTTTTTGATAGTGACAAGGCAAGTTAACATTTATATATTGGTCGTGTCAAATAGTTCTTTATCCAACAGAATAATACCAGGAGTTTTAAATTATCACAGGAGATCGAAGCTACATTGTACTCAAATGACAATATCCGAGTGTGAAAACTCACAACCGAGTTTTCAACATGGGTGAAGCAAGTTGGTAAATCAGCATAAAATATCCTTAGAGGTATCGGTAACCATTCCTTTTCTGCAACTTTTGGCAATATCTCACAATCCTTGGTTTGTGTATACAGCACATTTTGTATTATTAATTCAATTGGTATTTTGCCATTGGTACATATCTGTAATCCTAGAAAAAGAATGGATATATGACGTCAAGATAGAATTTTTGTGATTAAGGTTTTACAAGTATTAATGTAAATCGGAATATATTCATATAAATTAAAAGCCACTCGCACTAAATGAAGACTCTCGACTCGTACACAGCAGCTGAAGCAATCCGGAGATATAAGTAAACTGGCATCATTTAATACATGATATGACAAGTACTGATGATCACCTACACACACATGTACACAGTAAGCTGATAGCCAGGGTAAGCTACGCTATACATGTAACTGGAGATTGTATCGGAGGTCATATACAGTCGGATACTGACACATGTTCCTACATCACCGTCTAAACACTGCATCACTGTGACCATGTATGGTTATGCCCAGCACCGGAGTACTGTGATAGTGTATGTGTTTGTACATGACTTCATCATGATTATAAAGTCTTACAGTTATAAAAGTCTTGGAATTATTTTGCACGAGACGTTTTGATCAAGTTTACGCATCATCACAGGTGTTTCTTGTCTGTCAGCACTCGTATAATACAGCCTTGTCCAGCCTTGGCAAACACCTGTAATACAGAAGGAAGTTTTTTTCTAGTCCAGAAGTTAAAACATAAAATCCTGAAATGAACATGCAAATATCAAAACTATCATCGTGACTCAAAGTCACTACAAGAATGACCCAAAATAATAGCACAGGAATAACAGAATAGTACATGACTCTATCATATGAAAAGAAATGTCCCACAAGAGGGTACAGATTTCAGGGCAAAAAACGGGACTTGCCAAAGTTTTCAAGCCCAAATTATGTACCCAAGCTAGGGTTATCCTATCCTAGTTATTTTCTCAAATTGCTTAAAAAGTATGATTTATTTCATCAAGAGTTAAATTAACTAGAAAACGTCTAAGACATAAATGCCCCCGCTCATGGATGGGACGGACATGGGCAACACTATATGCCCCCCCATTTTATGGCGGGGGCATAAAAATTAACAATTATCTATTATACCTCTAGAAAGAAAACATCACAGGTTGGTTTATTCAGTATCATCGTTAAATTATAAACACAACAGCAATACATGTAGACACAACATAATGTAACTTGATCAACAGAACACTCTTGTGTGAATAGAAGATTGAATGATGCAACTTACACCATTCTTTGATCTAGATAGGGATAGCTGCAGAAAATAATGGTTCTAACCTCTACACAAGATCTAGATAGGGATAGCTACAGAAAATAATGGTTTTAACCTCTACACAAGATCTAGATAGGGATAGCTACAGAAAACTAGAACACTGACAGGTCAGTAAAGGCCCCGTCTTGTGGCAATATATCCCCCATAATCATCAAGAAGCAATCTGCCCATATAGCTGAGCTTGACGTTTGACATTTGGACTTTAAAAAGAATCGCAAGGAATCATTTTACATGTACTATGATGTGAGTCTTGTTTCCTTCCACCTCCATATTTGCTGGGCTAACAGAAATGCAAATACCGGTGCAATACTCATTTGTTAGCTTTGATTTGTTTTATTTCACCTTATATACCTCCTCCATCAAGAGCCAGGGTCAAAGTCGGAGATCCACAGGACCCAAATGACCTTAACCATTAACCCAGTGACCCTGATCTTTGGTCAGTTGACTTATTCTTTAATTCCGACCAATTTTGCTTCTTAATATCATAACAAAATGTTCATCAGTGAAAAATACAAAACTCTACCTTGACCCTTTGGACCCCGTAACCTGGACCTAAGGTCAGTTGACTCTGTGTTAAGTTCCGAACAACATTGCTTCAAAATGTCATAACAAAATCTTCATCAGGGAAAAGGTACAAAATTTAACCTTGACCTTTGACCAAGTGACCTTGACCTTTGGTCAATTGACTACTTGTTTAATTCTGAGCAACATTGCTTCAAAGTGTCATAGCGAAATGTTCACCAGTGAAAAGATAAAAAAATAACCTTGACCTTTGACCAAATGACCTTGACATTTGGTCAGTTAACTCCTTGTTTAATTCTGATCAACTTTGCTTCACCATGTCATAACAAAATGTTCATCAGTGAAAAGATGCAAAATTTGACCTTGACCTTTGATTATAATGACCTTGACCTTTGACCTCGACTTTTTACCTCAGCGTGTCTCTTTGTTCAATTCCCAACAACTTTGCTTCATAATGTCATAGCGAAATGTTCACCAGTAAAAAGCTACAAAATTCGACCTTGACCCCTGACCCGATGACCTTTGGTCAGTTGACTCCTTGTTTTATTCTGATCAACTTTGCTTCATAATGTCATAACAAAATGTTCAACAGTGAAAAGATGTAAAATTTGACCTTGAACTTTGAACCTAATGACCTTGACCTTTGACCTTGACTTTTGACCTCAATGTGTATTTTTGTGAACTGAACATCTTGACCAAGTTTCATGTACATCGGTCAATAAATACCAAAGTTATCAGCCAGGAACAAAATTTGTGGACGGACAGACAGACAGACAGACAGAGGGATTACTATAGGGCACCCGTATCTCCGATACGGGGCCCTAATAATGGTTCTAACCTCTACACAAGATCTAGATAGGGATAGCTACAGAAAATAATTTTTCAAACCTCTACACAAGATAAAGATGCCTTAACTTCCTGCCTGTTATGACAGCATTTTCAATGTTCAGGCAGCACCATAAAAAAGTAAGTCAGGAAATCATAAACAAATACAGTAAAACCCCTCTTCCTCGAACTCTGTTTACTCAAATACCCCTCATTCCTCGAACAGTTAGTTTGGTCCTGACCGAGTTCGTACATATTTGTAAAGTTACCCCAGATTAGTTGAACCGTTATTCCTTGAACAAAAATTTGTTCCCGACTCATCATGGTCATAGTATTAATTCTATCTATTCGCCGAACAGGTGTAACCTGTCACGCCTGACAGATATTTTCCCTGTGATTATACGACACTTCCATCGACCAGGCTGCGGGTTAATTTTTTCCAGACGATATTATGACATCGATGATTTGACGGAAGTGTTAATTTACTGGGTGTGTAAAACCATATTTCGGCGTTGTAATATTAAGCAGAAATCCCAGTGGGGATTCTTGACCAACTTTAAAGATATTCAAACTTGAATACATCATGATTGTTTATTTTGTTATCAATCATAATATGATAACAAGGATTCAAGATTTTCTTCATTTCAAAATGGTCGAAGAGTTCCTCTCGTTTTTGATATTTTGTAAAATTAACGTTGCAGATTACAGTATGGCGGACTATGTCAAAACGACAAGTAAAGTATGTTACACATGCAGCTTTTTAATTTTATTTACTTTCTTAAAACCGGTTGCTATATGTTCTCATTGTTTAGATATTTTAAATTCTTATTAAATGTAATCTTAATTTAACTGTCCCACCTGATAAAAAAAATGACGATGTCGGTCGAACCTCGGATTGGTTGTATAACATGATGTAATTCCTCGAACTATTGATATGGGCCCTACGTGATCGAGTTAGCGGGGTTTACGGTATATTCTCTTTGGCTAATAATCTCTGTGGGTGACTAATAACATCATTTGGTAATTGAAGCACAATCTGTACGACCTGTTGCTAAAACAAAGGCAGTGTGGGCAGTGTGATAAAACAAGTTGATGATAATGTCACAATGTAGTAGGAACAGTATGATATGTAATCATCTCGTGTTAATGTGAAGTTGTCATTCATAAACATTTAACATCAAATCCTTAACTCATTCACCCCTGAAAGTTCATAATGAACTATTCCAACTAATGTAAAGTTGTCATTCATAAACATTTAACATCAAATCCTTAACTTATTCACCCCTGAAAGTTCATAATGAACTATTCCAACCATTGAATTGGAAGAGTTCAAATGTGTCTTCAGGGCTGAATGAGTTAATATTTAAATAATTGTTTGTTTGATTTTGTTTAACGTCCTATTAACAGCTAAGGTTATTTAAGGACGGCCTCCCCTGTGTGCAAGATGCATGCGTGTAGTGTATGTGTGTGTATTTTGGGAGGCTGCGATATGTTCGTGTTTGTCTCCTTGTGATAGCGCGGAACTGATGCCGACTTTATAGTGCTACCTCACTGAGACATACTGCCGAAGACACCCAGCAGGACGCCCCACCCGGTCACATTATACTGACAACGGGCGAACCAGTCGTCCCACTCCTAATTTGCTGAGCGTTAAGCAGGAGTAGAAACTACCATTTTTAAAGACTTTGGTATGTCTCGGCCAGGGGACAGAACCCAAAGCCTTCCTCACAGGGGCGAACGCTCAACAAATGGCCAAAAGTGAGGCATTGTCAAGGGAGACATTAGGAAGAAGAAAGTTATTTAGAAAGGAGAGAAGAGATAAGGTCCCAAATTTAGTCGCCTCTTACGATCATGCAATTGGGGGCAGCAGGTACAATTCTTACGCCCTACCTGCAGGGACTATTTCAATAAATACTGTCTAGTACAGATAATAAACTAAGACAGTGTTGTTTGCTTATCTACCTCGTATAGTTGTACTTACTTTATCATGCCAGCCAAGTAGACTTGCACTGCTATTCTCTGTTGGGAATTCAAAACCTTTGTAAATATATTTCATAAGAATATCAATAGACTTGGCGTCCAATGTCTTCACACAGCTTTCAATCTCGTTACTCTTGAAAGACTGCAAAACTCGAACTACAAGATTTGTTGACTTGTCCTGAAAATGTAAAAAGAAACTAATCAAAGCCTGTTAGTGAAATAATCATTGTTTTATTATCAATTAGTAAAGCATGTTTTCTAAACAAGAATAAAAAGAAATTTTACAAAACTTAAATGGAAGCATCCTAGCATCCAACTATCCTATCAAGAAACAAATGATATGTAACAAGTTCTGATACCTGAGTGTACAATTTAGGTAAATTTGAAGAAATTCTGTTGTGTTGCGGAAAAGACAAATGCTTAATGAAAAACAACTAATAATGCTGTATAAATGAGAGCATCTTTTTGTAGATATCTTGAAATATTTTCTAACATCTAAATAATTTTACAGCTAGTTTCCAAGGAAACATGATAAGAATGCAAACTTTCTTGTCCATGATTGGAAGACGAATGTTTAAGTAGCTAGCCATGACAATGTACTGTAAAGTATGTATGCATATTGTAGGTGAAAGTATACTTGCCATGGTGATATTTTACATTTTGATGCCATATATCTATCCTGTATAATTACCTTAAGTGCTTGATTTTTGCGTCCGATTGGAGGGTTCTTTAGGGCCGCTGCCAACGCTTCCTTCTGCTTTGATGTAATCAGTGTTAAGGAAAATCATTGTCAATAAGTGATAAGATGATAAGTTTGTATTGCAACTAACATATCGTAATTTTAAAACATATTAGAAGATAATACAGTTTAAGGATACTCTCAATTCAGACACATTTTCATGCAATAGATATAAATACTAGTGTGCAGATAAATAACCATAAAAAAATGTAACGAGTGGTTGGTCACCCATCCAGCTACTGACCACGCACAACATTGCTGAACCAGTGAGCAGGTCCCGAGTTATACGGAATCGCTGGAAAAGCTAGCTTGTCGGTAAGGCAGTTTTTTCCCTTATATTCCTTAGGTGTTAGGAACACCAAAGCACTTTGCTACCAGACCCTCACCCGCCCCCTGGTGGAGTATGCCTTCACAGTGTGGGACCCAGGACAACATCTACAAGCTGGAGGCAGTGCAAAGAAGATCGGCTCGCTTTGTATATAATGACCATTCCAAATACACCAGTGTCACACCATTACTCCAGGAGCCGCGGTGGCCATTACTTTCAGAAAGGAGAGCACGCTGTAAGGGAATCATGATGTACCGGATAGCGCTATATCTTGTTGATATACCATCTGCACAGCTACAGGCAATACAATCATCTAGCAGAGGACATTCCAGGAGAGACATGGTCCCCTTCGCCAGAACCCAGCACTCTTTCTTTCCAGACACCATTAAGTTATGGAACCACCTACCACAGCAGCTCATGGACAGCTTCAAGATAGGTGTCCAGTAGGTACAACTGCGCTAGATGACCCTCTATTTAATCACCGATGTGCATAGAGCACCAAACTACCTCACACCGAAGATGCACATATACTGCAGAACGTGATTCTCCACTAAGAGGACTGTACTTTGACAGTAGAAGAAGAAGGTTATGTATAACATGGCTGTTGGTAATTATAAGTACAAAGACAAAGTTCCTTTATGCATTTTGGAACAAACATTGGAAAGGGTTTGATTCAAGATTTTGTTGTTGTTGAAAATTCCTTCCAATAAATATGATAATCTATACAGTACTGTTACCATACGCAAAGTATACAGATAGACACTGCTCTGACCAAGAAGCTGGATCAGCCTACATTGACGTCGACACCACATGAAAACTGACATGAATCATACGGAAGTGATATATGTCGTGCATGTACGGTAACAGTAACTTTAAAGGATATTGAGCAAGTAATGTGTTGACTTCTCCTTCATTGGGACCAACGTCTACTTCCTGATCATCTTCTTCATCTTCATATAGATCTTCGTCGAACTGGTCGACATTCACCTTCCTAAATTTGCTAGCACCAGTGTTTTTCGACATTTTCGGCTCTCGTGTCTATCTGGATGGACACCCACACCCCGGAAATAAAATAAACTTCCGGTTCTTACCCTATATCTAGTAGTCCGTAATATATATATATACAATGAAAAGTATAATTTCCTACTATTCACGCCATTGCTATTGAGGTATGTTTAATTGAAGTATTGTTTAGGTATAACTAGCACAATCAAACTGTATAACAACTCTCAAAATCCAAGCGACGTACCGGATGTCCATACATTTTGGGGTAAACTTCACTTCCGTCCTTTTCTATACACACTACGATTGCCACCATGGTATGGAATTTTGCTACATAAAATCTGCTAACATCTGGTTTTCTACACATCGGTCACGGACAATTTCTGTAAAAATTGAATAAAGCATAACTTACTTATACACAAACCTGATTAGTTTCTGTGTGACAAGAAGTCTTTCGTTTAAAACTTGCTTTTAATAAACAAGTCTTCAAAATTTTCGTCTGCTGAGGAAGGGTAGTTGTTTACCGACAGTGTGAAACTTTCAGTTAGCGACGTTATTCTGAGTACACATTCCAAACATTTTACACGCTCTGGGGATAACTGTTCCTCAAAACTACCTTTGACCAAAGAACTGCCTTTCTTGACAAACTAATGGCACACATGACGCTTAACTGATCATGGAATGTATTACTCGACTCGTTGGTGAACTGTGAAAAGAACGATAATTTCCAGAGTAACCCAACACAGTTTTGGAAATGTGATTAGGTCTTCAGCGCACACCGCGATAAGCAGTGCTCATTTGTGAATCAATTTCGTGTAACAGAGCGCATGATTAATTAAATATGAATCACTACCTCCGCATGGGATCGAACCCGGGACCTCTGGCTTACTAGTCTTACGCTCAACCGATCGAGCTAAAGAGAAGTTCTCTATAGCCGAGCGATATATTGCGGCTAGTATTTACCAGGGTTACATACTCCCCCTTCCAGGAAAGAACTCGTCCTCGAGTTTTTCCAGGGGTAACAGCGATGCTTGTGGAGCAAGGCCGAGTATTTTTCCCGGGTCCCTACGTGGGCGCCAATGTAACAGAGCGCATGATTAATTAAATATGAATCACTACCTCCGCATGGGATCGAACCCGGGACCTCTGGCTTACTAGTCTTACGCTCAACCGATCGAGCTAAAGAGAAGTTCTCTATAGCCGAGCGATATATTGCGGCTAGTATTTACCAGGGTTACATATATATATTCTGGCGCCTGCAATTACATTCAGTTTTGGCGTACTAATGCTGACCCGATATCCTCTGAATGAAGATGGTATCTTTTTCATAAACTTGTATTTAAAAGACATCAATTGTGTCGTAATGCTATGGTATCTTCTTTTTTACAGGCTAAAGTTAAGGCAAAGGAACTCCGGGGCAAGAAGAAGGAAGATTTGATGAAGCAGCTGGATGAGCTCAAAAACGTAAGACTGCATGACTACTGCTGGCTGACGCGTCTAAATACCCAATACTATCTAATGCTACCCCATGACCCAGTTATGTAAATTATAAATGGGAGTAATTCAAGAATGTAAATTATAAATGGGAGTAATTCAAGAATGTAAATTATAAATGGGAGTAATTCAAGAACATTTACTGATGCAATGAGGGTGGAATTGACTAACTCAAGACAACAATTAGCTGAATAGACGTGCCGCTGCTGGGCACACTGCACAATTGGTCTATAAAATGTGCTAGTTGGGCATGATTTTTCTGGTACCGACGCAAATTTATGCTAGTGTGTGACCCTTCTCTGTTACAATGAATTCTAGACTTTTTTGGCACAAAGATGTTTGCAATAATTTTGATGGTGAAATCTCAACATATCAGTTCACCATAGTTTGAATTGGGTACCTAAGAAAGGAGGTTATAGTACTTTTACATAAAGACGAATAATGCTGATGAACCTTGAAGTATAAAAGCATCGACACACAGGACACAAAAGTAGTGTTGAAAAAATTGAAACGAGGGGGGCCAATTTTTTTTTTCAAATTATCCAAAAAACTTATGGGAAGTACACCCGTCTTATTCTTCTAAAAGTAGAATCTAGGTACTGAAGTACCAAAACATATGTACCTTGACTTGAGATGTTTTTGGCTCTTAGGAACAAGCACACAAAAAGGTAATGCAGAATTAACAATGCAAGGAAGGACCACAGGTTAAAACCGTTGTCCTGTTTAAATAAGATGGTCATCTGATCTGTGGGAGGAAACTGGTTTGAAAATTCCTTTTATTCTTGAAAAGATTCAAGACGCTGTCTCCCCCATACAATTAGCTTACAGTGAAAAGAGGTGGAATGTTATCAAAGAGTTTAGATTTGACTAAATGATTGGTAACACAAGAGAACAAATCAATATGTACTTAGAAAGTTTAGGTTTCATATCATGACAACAGAAATAAATGATGTAACTATATAGAAACAGATGAACTATGAAGATTTTACCATTGGATCGATAGGACTGATGTTTCTGTTGATCATGATGCTTTTTATTAACTATCTCGGCAATCAATTATTTACAGCAAATGTGATTTTTAGCTCACCTGGCCCAAAAGGTGAATGACCTTCACCCACACAGGGGTCAAATATGTTTAAAACCTTTGATAAACTTATTTTGAATAACCGAAAGGTCCAGGATAATGATATTTGGACAGAAGCATGCTGGGATTGAAGGCTATAAACTCTGTTCAAATTAATGTCCCTGCGTGGCTTTCAAGGTCACATGCATCATATGTTTAAATCTTTTAATAGGTTCTTGTGAATCAAACGCTGATATTTTGCCTGTAGCTGTATTTTAGTCCACTTAAAAAAATTACAAGTGTGAGATTAATACCAGGTGAGCGATTCAGGCCCATTGGGCCTCTTGTTAAAATATGTGGTGGCTTAAACAGGTTAGGCATAAGGGTATATATGTACCTCGTAGTGTAACTTTATTGGATTTAATTGAAAGAACAACACCCCTTTTTTTCTCCTTGAGATATAAAAGAATTTTGTGTGTTTTTATTTCACTTTTAATATTCCCAATATCAGTAATAAAATTGTAACTCAAATGGGTAACGTTGCCCAAATTCAGGATTATTACCCATATGTGCTGTTGTACATGAAACCCAAGGCAACTTGTTTAAAAGAATCAATAAGCGGCAACTTGTAATTCAGCTTAAAAAGTAGCACGGAAAGACAAATTTGTAAATTTCATAATTTAGGGAGTTGGAAGAAAGGAAGTGGTGTTCTGATTTCCCTTATGACCTTATTTTTCACGAAGTCCACTAAAGTTTCTGACGTAATTTTATATAAGCAGGGTACCGGTGTGACCGTCAAGATCTTTGTTCAAAATTGTGTACCAGTGGAGTGCCTCGTTTAATCCAGTATATTTTGTTTTAGGAGCTTGCTACCCTGAGAGTTGCCAAGGTGACTGGTGGAGCTGCATCAAAACTGTCCAAGATGTGAGTTTTCGTATGTTCATTCACCCAAAGTTAAGGAATTCTCAATGTACAAATGCAAACAATATTAGGAAAGGGCTATCGTGATTGCAGTGTTGTTTCCTTAACTCATTCACCCCTGAAGACACATTTGAACTCTTCCAGTTTAGAGGCTGGAATAGTTCATTATGAAAATTCAGGGGTGAATGAGTTAATCCAGCCACATTCTTTGCCAGAGTAATAAATGGATTTTGAAACAGCTGGATTAAAGAGGCACATTCTGCAAGGTATGAAAAGAGCAGAATAACGTTATTCAAGTATGGATATGGGGTAGTTTTTGACTTCAAAGGTACTTCATGGATTAATAATAGGTACTACCAAGTTTTAGCTTTCATCATGACAACAGAAATAAATGATGTAAACTATAGAGACTGATAAACTATGAAGATTTTACCATTGGATCGATAGGACTGATATTTCTGTTGCTCATGATGATAATTAATTGGATCAATCTGAAAGCTACTTGTTATTATTATAGTTTTGTCCTCGCCTTTATTTAGAGCAGGCCACGGTAAAGCCATTGTTCTATTTTTTTGTGTACAGGTTTTAAACATATTTGGGTGGAATGTATATGCTGTAATATTTATGGTATAATTTCGAGGGTTTTAGTAAAACCCTTTGAATATTTCCAAAAATCTTTGTTGGTTGTTTTTTTCCTGATTTTTTCCAAACAACTCTATCAATTTATGTTGACCCAGATTGTACAATTGGGTATATTTTTGGAGAGTGAAGATAAATTTAATAGCATAGTGCATTTGTTGTGCGTTTTTTTTAAAGCATATTCTTTAACACATGGGATCAAGATCTTCAAATTTGGTATGTACAGGTAAACCTTCAGTGAAATGGTGTCTCGAACCAAATCCAGGTTACTGACCAACATAAACTTTTGACCTACATTGAAGAACTTGTCAGTAGCTGTTTTCGATAGATTTTTTATTTATTTTTGCTGGTTTTGATATCTTCCCCATCTCTTCCAACTGTCGTTTCTAAGGAAGTGCTGATATTTTAGTTTGTCCTTGCTTGGTAACAAGTTTCTCGCTGGGTATAAAAAGCACAAGGGCTGTCACAATATATCGGAAAACGGGTATATCGCAATACACTAGTATATTGTACTGTACCACAATACCGAGATGAAATATTGCTGTATTGCAATATTTTTTTAAAAGCCTATTTTTATGTGTTTTAACTTTGCAAATTACTACAAATTCTAACATATGTCAATAAGCATAAAACAGGCTTTTAATAGTGTTGGGAATAAGTTCAAATTTTGTAATCATTCGTTGGTTTGACAAAAATCTTAAATCTATAGGATCAATATTAAACATGATTAAGTTTCCTAACATTCTGACAACTTATTATAAAATCGAGCCCATCTTTCCTGTGACAATATATCGGGATACGTATCACAATATATTCACTCTGTATTGCAATATATCGTGTGACACCCCTAAAAAGTGCATTATTTGTTCAACGTGTGCATAAGGTACTACACTATATATATAAATAAAACAAAACACAAAGACTAGTATAATAATATAATATATATATATTAATCTTATGATGATATATTA